ACAGTGAGGCAGTAGAAATGGAAGGAATTAGACAGATTTGGAATATATTTTACAGAGAGAAGAACTATGAGTCTGGCTAGTAGGCTTTCTTCAGTGTGAGAAGGACTCATAAGGGAAAGAGAGGAATCAAGGGTCATTCTTCGGGTTTTGGCTGGAACAATGTTGGATGATGGTTATTGATACTAAGAGGGAGTATGGGAGGGGGATAGGACAGGTTTCAGAGGGCAATTCACAAGTTCTGTTTGGGGATAAATTTCCCATGCCTATTAAATATCCAAGGGAGACATCAGTGAAGAATTGGGGTAAGCTCAAGGAAAAGTTGAGACTGCAGATAGAAAGCTGGAAGTCATTGACTGTCAATGACACATATCACATAGGTAGTATTAAAAGTCATGGGATTAGGGGTGTCTGGCTGGCACAGTCTCTTAAGCACCTGGCTCTTGATTTTAGCTCAGGTTGTGATCTCAGGGTCTTTTTTTTTTTTTAAAGATTGTATTTATTTATTTGACAGACAAAGATCACAAGCAGGAAGAACAGCAGGCAGAGGGGGGGTGGTGAAGCAGGCTCCCTGCTGAGCAGAGAGCCCAGTGCGGGGCTTGATCCCAGGACCCTAGGATCATGACCTGAGCTGGAGGCAGAGTTTTTAACCCACTGAGCCACCCAGGTACCCCACTGATCTCAGGGTATTACGATCGAGCCCCATGAGGAGACTATGTCAGGATCCATGCTCAGTGGGGAGTCTGCCTGAGATTCTCTACCTCTCCGCTGGTCCCTCCCTCTGCTCATGTTCTCCTTCTCTCTCTCTCTCCCAATTAAATAAGTTAATCTTAAAAATCTGGCAGACAGGGTAGAGAAGAGAATCCAGGAAAAACCCATTTCTTGCTGTCAGACATTATGGTGGGGTCAAATGGATTTCTGCTGAAATTGCTTGCTTAAGATAATCAGATTTACCTTATTTCAATGTGATTTGTACTTCTTTGCTCAAAATAAATAACAATTATTTCCTATTCCTCATAAAATCAAGCACATCTCCCTTCACCTAATTTCTAAGTCCTTCATATTCAATATTTGGGTTAAGGATTTACTGAGCACTTAGCTGGTGAATACAGGAATAAATTTGTTCTCACCTTTAAAGAAAGTACAGTTTATATGATAGTATACATGCAAGTAGATGACACAATTTTCCAGAATGAACTAGGAATATAAGATTTTGTATTAAAATATGTCAGAATGTAGAGGAAGATGGATAATTGGGGCTTAATTCCCCATTGAAGTATCTAGAAAGGAAGGAAAAAACTCTACGTTCAGGTCGTTCAATGGACGAAAGGCCTAAACCATAGCATAGCACCATTTTGCCTCTAATATGTTAAATGCTTTGACATTTGAAACCTCATTTAGCTTTGTTATCCTTCCAGGAAGCAGGTGTAATATGTTATTTTAACATGTCAATTTACTGATGAAGAAACTGAAGAACATTGAGATTTAAGTGGCATAACTAAAGTTGTCAGTAAAGAACATAGTTGGGCCAAATGCCACATTCATGCAAAACACATTTATGAGTACTCACCATCTAATAGCTACTGAGCAAGGCACTTTTATTTGATCTTCACGTCTTGCCATCATTTTAATCATCACCTATTAAGCAACCCCTTTTCGTACTTCCCGGAGATAGATACATTAAAACTGATGCCTTGTTGTTTTTGGTTTTGCTTTTTTTTTTTCTTTTAAGATTTTGTTTGCTTATTTGACAGAGAGAGACACAGCAAGAGAGGGAACACAAGCCTGGGGAGTGGAAGAGAGAAGCAGGCTCCCCACTGAGCAGAGAGCCCAATGCAGGGCTCCATCCCAGGACCCTGGGATCCTGACCTGAGCCTAAGGCAGAGGCTTAACAACTGAGCCACACAGGCGCCTCCCTTTTTTTTTTTTTTTTTTTTTGCTGAGAACCAACACACACACACACCCACTGATAAAATGGAAAACAAATAAATATAGTCAGAATCTATGGAATATTGTAGTTTGATAAGTTCATAAGTTTATATAATATCTTCAAACTATCTATCTTTTAATTCTTCCCTGGTGAATAGAGAGAAAAAGACATCTTTAACTAAGGAAGCTTATCCAGGCAAAGAACTCAGTTTAAAAGCAAGGAAGGAAGAGGCCTTTTCAGAGTGGCTATTAGTGATTTATGGGCTTCTCTGCTTGTGAAAATCTTTATTTTCAAAGCTTAGCTTCAATGCTACCTCCACCATAAAGGTGATTCTGATGCTTCAGTAAATATTCATCAACTCTTCCGTTTGAGTAGAGTCTTGAAAGACAAGCTTATTTTGGGTAGCTGAACGGAGCAAGATGATTCTCAGCAGAAGGCAGTTGTCTTTTCCACGAAACCACCAAAGTTCATTATAGACTCATGGATTCACAAATAGACAGGACTATGAGCTTGCGTTATGATACTCCGAAGCAGAATGTAAAATCCTCATTCCATTACTGTCAGTCCAGGCCAAGATCTACTGAGTGTTAGGTGCCATATCACAAATAAGTGACATATAAGAAGTTGCCCTGTTTGAAGGAGGACTTCATCTAGTGAAAGTCCTAGGGAGGGGCTCCTGGGTGGCTCAGTGGGTTAAAGCCTCTGCCTTCAGCTCGGGTCATGATCTCAGGGTTCTGGGATCGAGCCCCACATCGGGTTCTCTCTGCTCAGCAGGGAGCCTGCTTCCCCCTCTCTCTCTGCCTGCCTCTCTACTTGTGATCTCTCTCTGTCAAATAAATAAATAAAATCTTTTAAAAAAAAAAAAAGTCCTAGGGAAACAGATATGTAGTCAAATAATCACTATAGGACGTGATAGGCACAGGCCATAGAAGCAACAGGGTGTAAAAGAGTGTACTACCCTGCCTACCCTCCAATCACTCTGATTTCTTCTATATCCTCTTTCTCACTCCTTCCACCCCAGTTCATTTGGGGTTCCTTGAATGCACGAAGTATGTTTCTGCCTTAGGGCCTCTGCACTTCTATTCTTTCTGTCTGATAGGGCTTCACCCAGAAATCTACGATGGCTTACTTCTTTTCTCCATTTAGCTCTCTACCCTTAGGTCACCTTATTAGAATAGTTTTCCCCTGACCTCTTGACATGAAATTGCACCTAATCCTTATTTATCATTCTTTCCTAGGTCCCCCATCCTACTCTTATTTATAATCCTTATCACAGCTTGGCATACTGTACATTTATGTGTTTATTTTCTGCCTTTCCTCATTGGAGTGAAAGCTTCACAAGAGGAAGGACTTTTATTTACTCACTGCTGAATCTACATAGCCTAGAAGAGCCCCTGGCACATGGTAGACTCTTCATAAATATTTATAGTACAAAGAAATGGCAGGAGATAAAGTGGAATTCAGGAAAGATATCACAATGTTGGCCATACCTCATTAGAGTTTAGAACTATGGAAAGGATTATCCTAATCAGGTGAGACTGGGCCTAGCAATTGAATCTTCAAAGGAAGGTGGTGTTGGGGGTGGGTATTAAAACCACAGGATTTGTTTAAATAATGGGAGATGATGTGCCATTTTGGGGATGTAAACATTTCCTTTGTGTTTCTATTAAAGCATATCCACATTTTACTCTTATAGGGGAGTGAATTAAGACCCTTCAGACTTTCTCAATAAAGTGAGAGCTCTTCAAGGGCAAGGACTATGCTTTACTCCTATCTTTACTTTCCGAGTTCTTAAACAGCAGATATTCAACAATTGTTATATGAAGAACAATATTTAGTGACGGGACAGCAAGTAAATCCATTGATTGATTTGTAAACTAGAATGAATTTCTCTCTGTTGAAAAGTGAGAGTCCTGTTTGAAAACTTTTGGACCAAAAGAAACTTTAGAGATCATCAAATTCAGCTTTTCCATTTTAAGGATGAGAAAACTGAAGCAAAGAGAAGTTAATTACCTGAGATCATGCAACTAGGTAGTCACAGTTAAGAACTAGAACACCAATTTTGACCCATCTATCGTCTTCTCCCTGAAAAATGTGTTCAAAAGTAGCCTGAAAATGTGGCATTATCTACTAAAATAAAAATTGCACATACTCTATGATCTTGGAGAAATACTTGTATAGACCTGCAAGAAGTCATTTACAAGGTTATTCATTGTAGTGTTTTGGTTTTTTGGTTAAAGTGAAACGTTGAAAGCAATCTAAATGTACATCACTAGGGAAATAACCATATTCATTTTGTGATAGCCATGCTATAGGAATATTGAGAAGCATTTAAAATGAATATAGTTTGAATATATTAACATGGAAAGGCTCTCCAAAACACTGTTAAAAAAAAAAAAACACAACAATCCGCATAATGATATACAGTATTGTACCCTTTAAGACTCTTTAATCTCAAGTTCTTCCACCAAAAGCACATAACGTAAATGTATAGATTATCTGAGGATTCACACCAAACAGTCAACAAGGGATACTTCTGCAAGGAAGGGTAGTGGATGAGGGGGTCTTCGACCTTAACTGTAATGTTTTATTTTACCAAAGAGAATGCGTTTTTCATTAGCTTGACTTTCGTTTGCCCTTAAAACTGAATTTTCAACAAAGTAGACATGAATTATGCTTTCTCTAATGAGAAACGGGAGCGATAAGGTAATAATTCTGTATTAAGGCTGACACAATCCATGAAGAACGAAAACAAGAGCTTTCATAAGATTAAAAAACGGAAAAACAGTTGAGAAGAGAAAGAAAGCATCAAGGGGATAAGGAAACAATGGTGCACTAGGCAAAGGCAATAGGATTATTAGAGGAAAGGTTGGGGGAGGGGAACCCTTGCCGATTCTGGACGCCGCCAAGGGAGAAAACCACGCTAAAAAGGCAAAGCGCGCTTCCACAGGGGCGGAGCCAACTACGGCGCGCAAGCGCAACCGGGCCCAGGTGGACGGCGCCGCGGAAGCGAAGCCTCCTAAAGACGCCGCGGCGCTGGGCTGCTGCTGCGCGTGCGCAGGCGGAGCGCCGCTGGAGCCGTCTTGTTTGCAGCCTCCTACGCCGCGGCCGCCTTTCTGAGATTTGAGTCTCGCGCTTTCTTCGTTCGCTCGCCGGCGGGTTCGCGCCCCTCTCGCGCCCCTGGGCAGCGAGGCTGGGAAGGGGTTGGAGGGGGCTGTTGATCGCCGCCTTTAAGTTGTGCTCGGGACGGCCATGTCGGCCGGCGAGGTCGAGCGCCTAGTGTCGGAGCTGAGCGGCGGGACCGGAGGGGATGAGGAGGAAGAGTGGCTCTATGGCGGTACGGAACTTCCTGTCCCTTCTCTCACTCCCGGGTTCTCTCAGGCCTTCCCTCGCGGCCCGCAAACGGCCGGCGTCCCGGGCCCCTCACGCCGCCGCTGGGGCCTCTTGTACGGAGCCTCCTCCGGCCTGACTTAGGCCGAGCGATGCGTGCACGTTCCCTGGCCTCCCCTCGCCCTCCCCTTACGCGCAGCCCGCGCCCCCACTGCGCAGCCACCCCGGGGCGGTCGGGCTGGGCGCGGGGCCAGGCCTCTGCCTCGCCCTCCTCCCCGCGAGGGCTTCCCGGCCGCCTGGTCTCCGCGCTCTTTCCCCTACTGTTTACCTCCATTCTGAGCTCTGTTGGTGTGTCTCTTCTTGCCCCTTGGCTGTAGGATACCCTCCCCGTCCCTTTCGTTCAGAAACAGTCTTTCTGTAATAATAGCTAAATAAAGTTGATGCTGTAAAACTAACGTCTTGTTTCTTGATGGTCAGTTTGTATGGAATGCACCTGCAAGGGTACCTCCTTGTCTGAAAGTCGTGCTTTAAAAATAATTAATTAAGAGAGAGAGAGAAAGAGATGGAATACATTATGGCCCATAAAGAAAACCCCGAATGTCTCCTGTATTAAGGTGAAGTTTTTCATTTTTAAGAGAGTGCTCTTTAACCCACATCATTAAAAGTATTTCATGTCCCTTAGGCTTATAGTTTTCACTTATTTCGTATGTATCTTTTTTCCCCAAAATAAGTTCGGTGCACTTTGTACTGCCCTCTTGAAAGGGACTTGGTATCTGGTTTTTAACTTTTCATTAAGTCACAGTCTCTTCTTGTCTGTTAATGATAACTAGATTTGAAAGTTAATATGTGTTCCTTGCCTAAAATGTATATTCTTTAGTAAAAGTGCACGTTTGGGCATCATGCAGCTCCTTGATGCTGTGACTTTGACAAACTTTGATTTTGACAGACTTGTAAAATTCATTACTTTTGGTGGCAAGATTTAACATTAGTCATATTCTTTGAAATGTAAATGTGTAGGGTTTCCTTAACAAAGATCTAGAAATAGTTAATGCCTCTTAAATTAAGCTTAATTTTATACAAGTACAGTCTGATTTTTTTTTTTTCATAAAAGACATATTTTGTTAAGTCATTATAAGGTGATCTAACTTTGGATGTGCTTATAGGCCCATGGGACGTGCATGTGCACAGTGATTTGGCAAAGGACCTAGGTTAGTGCTTGTGATGATCACTTCAGATTTTCATAATACTGGTTTCTTTAATAGTGGTTTGTTTGTTAATTTTATTTATTTATTTATGTATTTTTTTTGGTAGATGAAAATGAAGTTGAAAGGCCAGAAGAAGAAAATGCCAGGTTAGTGGAATTTGTTGTTGATGTTTATACAGATTGTATGATACAGTGATTCTGCAACAAATTGTCAGAATTGTTTCATTGTAATCATTAGCTTGAATACAGCATATTGACTGAAGGTTCAAAGACATTGAATCCTTTAGAGTTGATTTCTATTTCAGGACCTAATCAGTTCTGTTTATTTGCTAGTAGCTTAGGGGACAGAATTTTTGAAGTAAGGGTTTGAATACTCTTCACTATTAAGTAACTTTGTACTCTTAAGTGAGCATAGTAGTGGAGTATCAACATAACCGTTAGACTAATAAAAAAATTTCAAAAAAAAATTTTTTGATTAAAAGAATCCTTTAAATAACTTTTTGCAACTTATTAGTAAGGTGGTAGTGCACTTTGGTTATAATTTCAACATTTTGTATTTAAATTCAAAGTGGAATTAATGAATCTGTTATAAGATTGATTCCTTTTGTTAGACTGCTAGAAAGATTTGAGTATCATTTACAGAACATGTAAACAGCTTGAAACATCTAGATTTCAGAACAACTCACACAGACAAGTACAGGGATATGCTGACATTACTCATCAAATCTAATATCAATGACTTAATGTCACCTAATGGGGAAGGGATGGTTAAAAAAAGATCTTTTAAAGAATATTTGGGTTTAGAAAGTGGAGGAAGTATCACTCTGCATCCCTCAGAATAGGATGGCTACCATCAAAAAGAAAGTAACAGGTGTTGGTGAAGATATGCAGAAGTTAGAACTATCATCACTGATGGCAGAATTGCGAAAAGGTGCAGCTGTTTTAGAAAACAGTTCATCAGAAGGTTAAACATAGTTACTATATGACGCAGGAATTTCACTTCTACAGATATGCCTTGGAAAATTGATACATATTTACACAAAAACTTACACATGAATATTCCTAGCAGCATTGTCTATAATAGCCAAAAAAATGGAAATAAAAGTCCATCAAATGTTGAATGGATAGATAAAATATGGTATATCCATATCATGGAATACTATGTGGCAGTAAAAAGAAATGAAGTATTGATACCTGTTACAATGTGGGTGAACCTTGAAAACATTATGCTAAGCTGAAGAAGCCAGTCCCAAAGAACTGAATATTGTATGGTTCAATTAAAATAAATGTACAGAATAGGCAAATCTGTAGAGACAGAGTGGTTGCCAGGACTGAGGTCACGGGAAAATGGGGAGTGATTACTGATACATACAAGGTTTCTTATTCAGGTGATGAAAATGTCCTGAAGTTAGGCAGTTGTAATGGTTGCACTATTCTGTATATTCTATAAATGTGAAAAGCCATTCAGTTGAATGTTTCAAATTGGTGGGTTTTGTGGTATATGAAATCTACTTCAAAGCTGGTAGGGGTATACCTTACAGATACTGTGGGTTCAGTTCCACAGCAATAAAGTGAGTCAGATGAATTTTTTGGTTTCCAGGTGCATATCAAAGTTTTGTTTATAGTGGAATCTCTTAAGTGTGATAGTATTATGTCGAAAAAACAATGTACATACCTTAATTAAAAAGTATTTTCACACTAAAAAAAAATCCCAACCATTGTCTGAGCTTTCAGCAAGTCCTGTTTTTGCTGGTTACAGGGTCTTGCTTTGAAATTGCTGATGATCAGGGTGGTTGTTGCTGAAGGTTGGGGTGGCAATTTCTTATAAGACAACAGTGAAGTTTGCCACATCCATTGACTCTTCCTTTTATGAACAGTTGGTTTTTCTGTAGCAGTGATGCTGTTTGATAGCATTTTACTCACAGTAGACCCTCCTTCCGAATTGAAGTCAGTCCTCCCAAACTCCGCTGCTGTTTTATCAACTAAGTTTAGGTAATATTTTGAATCCTTTTTTGGCCATTTCAACAGTCTTCACCGCATCTTTACCAGGAGTAGGTTCCATGTCAAGAAACCACTTTTTTTTTTTTTGCTCACCCAGAAGATGCAACCACTCATCTGTTCTGGTTTTATCATGAGCCTGCAACAATGCAGTCTCGTCTTCAGGCTCCACTTCTCATTCTTGTTCTCTTGTTATTTCCATCACACCTGCACTTCCTTCCTCTGCTGAAGTCTGGAACCCCTAAAGTCCTCCATGAGGTTTGGAATCCACTTCTTCCAAACTCCTGTTCATGTGGCTATTTGGATCTTTCTCCATGAATCATGAATGTTCTTAATGGCATCTCGAATGATGAAGATGATGCATCCTTTCCAGAAGGTTTTCAACTTACTTTGCCCATATCCGTCAGAGGAATCGCTCTGTCTGTGGCAACTGTAGTCCTATGAAATGTTTTTCTTCAGTAGTAAGACTTGAAAGTCTAAATGAGTCCTTGATCCATGGGCTGCAGAATGAATATTTTGTTATGAGGCATGAAAACATTAATCTTATTACTGTATGTCTCAACAGAGAGAGAGCTCTTAGGTGACTGGGTGCATTGTGGATGGGCAGTAATATTTGGAAAGGAATCCTTTTTTCTGAGCAGTAGACTCATCGGTGCGCTTGAAATGTTCAGTAAATTATGTTGTCAGCAGACGTGCTGTCGTCAGGCTTTGTTGTTCCATTTGTACAGCACAGGCAGAGTGGAGTTAGGTTAATTCTTAAGGGCCCTAGGACTTTCAGAATGGTGAGCATTTGCTTGAGCTTAAAGTCACCAGCTGCATTAGCCCCTCACCAGAGAGTCAGCCTCTCCTTTGAAACTTTGAAACCGGGCCTTGACTTCTTTCCAGCTGTGAAAGTCCGCAATGGCATCTCCTTCCAACAGAAGGCTATTTTGTCTCCATGAAAATCTGCTGTTTAGTGTGGCCGCCTTTCTGAATTCCCTTAGCTGGGTCTTCTGGGGAACTTGCTCCCCCTTCTCCATCAGCACGTGCTGCTTCACCCACCCTGCACTTTGTGTTCTGGAGATGGCTTCTTTCCTCAGACCTCATGCACCAGCCTCTGATGACTTCACACTATTTTTCTACAGCTAACTCACCTCTGTCAGCCTTCATAGAATTGAAGAGGGTTGTAAGGGCCTTGCTCTGGATTAGCCTTTGGCTTAAGGGAATACCGTGGCTGATTCGGTCTTCTCTCCAGACCACTCAGACTTTCTCCGTATTAGCAGTAAGGTGTTTTTACTTTCTTGCCATTCATGTGTTCACTAGAGTTTAGCACTTTTAATCTTCTCTAAGAACTTTTCTCTGCATTTACACATTTGCCAACTGGTGCCTGCCTTCGACATGCCTTCCTCCCTAAACTTAATTAAAGTGAGAGGCGTGTGGACTCTTACCCTTGAACTCTTAGACACCTTAGAGTGTTATAAATTGAACTAATTTCATTATTGTGCTTCAGGGACTAGGGAGCCTAAGGAGAGGGAGGGAGACAGGTGATGGTTGGTCAGTGGAGCAGTCAGAACACACACAGTATTCAGTGATTAAGTTCACCGTCTTAAATGTTTGCGATTCATAGCTACCAGAACAGGTACAATAGTAACATCAAGCAGATCGCCATAACAAATACAATATTGAAAAAGTTTGAAATATTGCAAGAGTACCAAAATGTGACAGACACAAAGTGAGCAAACACTGTTGGAAAAATGGCACTGATAGGTGATATGCTGTTATCACAAACTTCAATTTGAAAAACTTAGCTGGGAAGTATAATAGAGCAAAGCATGACAACGTGAGGTATGTCTGCATTTTTAAAAAAGTAAATGGAGGGAAGAAGTGAGACATGGAAATAGAATTAACTTAAGGGATGCTGAAAGGGATTCTTCTTCACTTAAAAATATCCCCTGATTTGGAAGTTTTTTTTCACTCATTGCTATATTGTGAAATTTTATCATTAAAATCTGTGTATACAACCCAGTTCCTAACCCTAATCTTACTCACAAAGTTGTAATTTGTGTAGCTTATAGTTATAAAAGTCATTACAGTTTTTTCATACCCTGTTTTTTAATTGTTCAGGAATCACTGGGTAGTGTTACAGATTCACAGTTAAATGCAGTTTTTTTGTGAGCTAATCTATTCCCTTAATTTTGTTGGTATAAGTTCTTGGTTGTAATTCTTAAGGCTTATTTTCTGATTGCACATTTTTTAATTTTTCTATATTCAGCTTGTTTAAATGTATTGGAGGGAAGTCTTCTATCTTCCCTGAGTATTACTGTCAAATGTCTCTGTATTCTTTACTAAAATTTTATTTGAAGAGCTTATACGTTTATTTTATCCTATGGAAAATTTCAACCCATAAAGCTTAATTTTTCTAGGGAAAGCTTATAATTTTGTATTTCTAGCATTTTAATGGTGATAGGGAATTAAAACTTCAGAAAGTACTGGGGAAGGCATGTTCACCAAACCTGTGTTCTAGTATTTAGCTTGGTACATCATCACCTTGCCCTAACTGAGCAGAGTCCTTGCTATGAGAGTTCTCCCCAGCTTTTTGGTGTCTGGTTCATTGTTAAAACATCCTAACCATCGCATTGTGCTGTCTCCAATTTTGTCATGTTTTATTTGTCCCAAGTTTTGGCTAAATATACTGTTTCGTGGCAAACTGAACTTGTTTCTGGCTACCTAGAAACTTAATTAAGCAGGAGCTAAGTGTACTAAAGAATTATAGTTGTATATTTGTTTTCTTGGGTCAAGAAGTATCACAAGTAAAACTTAACATTTAAATTTTCAGTTTGTTTTGTTTTAAAGATTTTATTTGAGAGAGAGAGAAAGAGAGAGCATGACGGGGAGAGGGTCAGAGGGAGAAGCAGACTCCTTGCCGAGCAGGGAGCCATTGTGGCACTTGATCCCAGGACTTCAGGATCATGACTTGGGCTGAAGGCAGTTGCTTCATCAACTGAACCACCCAGGCGCCCGATTAAATTTTCAGTTTTTAATCTTTCATTTTTGCTTTACATGAGGATTGTATTGTAAAATACCACGTAGGGATTAAATTGATGTATATAGAAACTGCTTGGCACAAAGTAGGGTGTAGAAGAGATAAGCAGAAATCTAATGAAAAGATGTTTGAACTATATCAAGATCTGGAGGTTTTTCGTAGAAAACCTACTAAATATGAGTTAGTTGCTTTGCCCTTGGGTTTCTTTACTATAAAGTGAGGTTAATGGCTAGTTGCCACTATAGAAACATAATTATTAAAATATAAGAAGCCAATTATACTACAGTACTACAAGTTTTATTTGGTAATTATTGACCATATGCTTGAGTCTCATGAGAAAAGAGGGGTTTATTATTTTATATCACTTTTGCTTTAATATGGCAAATTCAGGTATTGATTGGCCTTCAAAAAGTAATTTGTTTTTTAATGCATCAAAATTAGGCCTGGAGCTACTAATTGGCATCAAATGGAAAGGCAGTCTTACGTGAAGATAAACTTTTTTTTTAAATCTTAAAATGTATCTTTTATGGGGGCGCCTGGGTGGCTCAGTGGGTTAAGCCGCTGCCTTCGGCTCAGGTCATGATCCCAGGTCCTGGGTTCGAGCCCCACATCGGGCTCTCTGCTCAGCAGGGAGCCTGCTTCCTCCTCTCTCTCTGCCTGCCTCTCTGCTTACTTGTGATTTCTCTCTGTCAAATAAATAAATAAAATCTTTAAAAAAAAAAATGTATCTTTTATGAAATAACGTATATCCAATAGTTAGGCTAAATAAAATTAAGTGTGATGCATATTTTTAAAATAATAAAAAACTTGAATTATAGCCCATTGTCAGATTTGCAATTTGACATCCTTTGGCAGTTCTGTTCTACTTTGAATGTTGAATATGGGTGTTATGCAGAGCAGTAGGAATAGCAGAATAGCACACAAAGCTTTTGCCATCCTTTTTCTTTTCCAGTGGAGATAATAATTTTAGGAAACTATGAGAGCTTTTAAAAAATACTAGTATACTCTGTCTGTACTTCTGAAAAGTAATACCAGATTGTGCGCTTATTTCTGTTGTTTGTAGTGCTAATCCTCCATCTGGAATTGAAGACGAAACTGCTGAAAATGGCGTGCCTAAACCGGTAACATAAGGCTTTGAAATTTAGTTACTTCTCTGTTTAAAGTCTTTATAGTAGTTTCCCCTTCACTTAGGAAGAAAGCCACAAATTGAACATGACTTTCAGTGTCCGGCGTGATCTGGACTGCTCTTATATTCCACCTCATCTGGTGCCATCAGAAGCACAGTGGTGAGAGGCAGTAGTGGGAAGAGACTTTCCATGAAGTAAGAGGAGCATGTGCGAAGGCTTGAAGCTGACTGCTATCAAGGAACTGAGTGATTGTAGCTCAACTAAAGAGATCATAGTGAACCTCATTTTCAAGGAAAACATTAAGTCCCATAGCCCAAATTTGATTATTGGAATAATATATTTTTACATAAATATGTGATATTCTCTAACTTCAGTCATGCCTGTTAAAAGTGTTGTTTTGGGGGGGGTGAACACGTATTATTGGTTTTACGAATATTTTAACATTCTGATCCTATGAAAAGAAGGAAATCATTATTCTACAGGTTTGAACTTGTATACAAAAAAATAGTTTGCCTAGGTGACCTACTTTTTTGTTTACTATTCTGTGACTAAGCACAAAATTGCCTTTTAGAGCCAAAATAAAGCCTTTGTAAATAGTCCCACTTTATGCTCCTAGAAACAAAGTAATCCCTCAATCATCTGCATCCAGGGACTCTTCTAACTGTAAATGAATGACAAGAATAACTGAACTGCTCCTTAACTGTTTGGTGTCTTTTAACCATGACTCTTAAAGTTAATTGTTTTCCTCTTCATATTCTTGATAAAAATTCCTCAGATACTTACTTTTTATAATTTCTGTTCTAAATATCTTAGTACAATGCCTTAGATTTTTTTTTTTTTTTTCAGAGAAGCAGTTGCAAATCATAGGAAAAAATACGTGAGGTGTTATTTACAAAAAGATGATGCTGAGAAAAGATTTTACATTCTTATCCTTATTTATCATGTATAATAGTTATACATGAGGTAACAGTGCTATGAAATTGTAATTTTTCTCTAAAACTGTACTTCAAAAAACACAAAATGATTACCTTTTCAGTTACTCATATTAGATGTTGAGATGAATTACTGAATGTATTTTATAATTGTTTGTTGGTGTAGAAAGTGACCGAGACTGAAGATGATAGTGATAGTGACAGTGATGATGATGAGGATGATGTTCATGTCACCATAGGAGACATTAAAACAGGAGCACCACAGTATGGGTAAGTTTGGTTTTTTTGTTGTTTTTTTGTTTGTTTTAAGATTTATTTATTTGAGAGAGAGAGAGAGAGAGAGAACGCCCGTGCATATAGGCGGGAGGGGCAGAGAGAGGGGAGACAATCTCAAGGAGACTCCCTGCTGAGTGTGGAGCCCTGCGTGGGGCTCAACCTCATGACCCTGAGATTGTGACCTGAGCTGAAACCAAGAGTTGGATACTCAACTGACTGAGCCACCCAGGTGGTAAGTTATTTTTAACTAACAGTTGTGTGCCTAAATTAAGGGTAGCATGCTTATATCAAACCAGTGGTGGTTGATTCCATTGTTTTTACGTATTTCCATCTTACCATGATGTGAAAGAAGTCTTAAAATTTCACTGTGAGTTTCTGGAAGAGTAGATCTTGAAAGTTCTCATCACAAGAAAAAATACAGAACTGTGTGGTGATGGGTGATAAGTAACTAATCATTTTTCAGTGTATACTTAGATCATTATGTTGTACACCTAAAATCAGTAGTGTTGTTTCAGTTCTGTCTCATGACAAAAAGGAATTTCACCATAAAAATATTTCTTTCTTAAAGATAGTTTATTAGATAAAATGCCATGGAAGCAGCTGTTTTTGATTTCTGAAATTAAGATGTTTTCATAATTGAGGAGTACACATTCTTTAGTTAAAGTGAGAAAACCTTAAATTACAGATTTCATCTGCATTGTTCTTCCATTGTATTATCCAAAACTGAGTTTAGGTTTTTAAAATTTTTTTGTCCAATAAAAACAGTATCAAAAAAAAATTTTTTTTTTGCTCTTCATAGTGTGTTTTTGAAGTTGTTAATTATTCTGTTGGCATTTTAAGATAATATGTTGTCTCAAGTTTTATAGTCTGTAAAACTGAATCTAGTGAATCAACTGTCATTAGCTCATTGAGCACATAAAGAATCGTAGAGAAAGGCTAGAAGGGAATATATTAAAGTACAGAATGTGATTTTGTTATGGTGGCAGAATAAGAGTCAGTATTTTTCTGTGGTTTATCAGATTAGATACATAATGTAGTGCTTGTGCATTGGGAGCATAAACTTTTCATCAGTTGCACTATAATTCATTATGCAGCCTTATCTGGAATCAAGCAATATATAGATAAATATTTTTGAATATTTTATTTCTATACTAGAGCTATTTTTTTTTTAAAGTTATTTTAGGAGCTTAAAGGTAATTCAGTTATTGTCATGGTCCATTTCACACTATAATAAGGACTCTCTATAATTTTATAACTCTAGAGATCAGGGTTGAGAAGAGACAGTAATGTTAGGGGTAGATAACTCTCAGTATTCTCATCTCCACTTAAAAAATTAATGTTGGAGATGAATGGATAAAGAAGATGTGGTATATATACACAATGGAATACTATGCAGCCATCAAAAGAAATGAAATCTTGCCATTTGCGATGACGTGGATGGAACTAGAGGGATCATGCTTAGCGAAATAAGTCAATCAGAGAAAGACAACTATCATATGATCTCCCTGAAATGAGGGAGAGGGGATGCAACATGGGGGGTTAAGGGGGTAGGAGAAGAGTAAATGAAACAAGATGGGATTGGGAGGGAGACAAACCATAAGTGACTCTTAATCTCACAAAATAAACTGAGGGTTGATGTGGGGAGGGGGGTTGAGGGGGGTGGGGTTATGGACATTGGGGAGGGTATGTGCTATGGTGAGTGCTGTGAAGTGTGTAAACCTGGAGATTCACAGACCTGTACCCCTGGGGATAAAAATAAATGTTTATAAAAAATAAAAAACAAAAACAAAATACTTACAAGAAAAAAAAATTAATGTTGGGCTTACATATAATGAAGTAGACCTTTATGTTAATAGGCCTTTGCCATCTGCATTATGCAAAAGGAACACTGTAGTCATTGTGTACGTAGTAAATACTCTTCTGTAGTTGCAAATACAAATTTTATTTTTATTTATTTGTTTATTTTTTAAAGATTTTATTTTATTTGACAGAGAGGGATCACAAGTAGGCAGAGAGGCAGGCAGAGAGAGAGGGAAAAGCAGGCTCCCTGCTGAGCAGAGAGCCCAATGCGGGGCTCGATCCCAGGACCCTAAGATCATGACCTGAGCCGAAGGCAGAGGCTTAACCCACTGAGCCACCCAGGTGCCCCAAATACAAATAATTTTACTTAACAGTTAAAGCAAATAGTGTTTATTTTATTAATATGACCAAATTTTTGGTAGAAATTGCATTCAAATATTGAATGTACATAGACTCCCATGGTACATTTTCTGAACTTTCTTTTTTTTTTTTTTTTTTTTTTTTTCTGAAAAAAGCTAACAGTTTATTATAATTTTTTACCAATCTAGGAAGTTTGCAGCCATTAGCAGTTTCATTGCAATTTTAGGTGCAACTGGGAATTCAGGAATCTCTGTGGAGTGGTTAGTGTAGTGAACCTTGTAGGTAAAATACATGCATACTTTCGATAGCCCATGTGAAGAGATCTCTCTAAAATTGACTTCATTAGTTTTGTTCTCAGCAAACCGACCTGGGCCACTCAACATGGCTTTTATTGTTCTGGATGTTAGTGTATGTTCTCTTTTTACAATAAATTCATGACCATCCAAAGATACCAATTTGACATTCATGGCATCAGGGCCTTCACAGCCACCATTAGGTTTTTATGAAATTCTACTTTACTTCCATAGGTTGTTTAGTATTTTTTTGTCATCCCTGCAGCCACTGCAGTCCTGAACTTTATTTCTTACAGCAGTTTCCAGATTCATGAAATGTAGTTATGTTGGTTCATGTTTATCACTTTAGACACTAAAGTCCTTGAGTAGAAACCATTGTTTATGTATTTCCCTTTTCCTCAAAGTGCTTTACAGGTAGTAAATATTCAGTAAATGTTTGTTGACTAAACAGCTTTTCCTCAGTATTATTTCCTCAGTATTTCAACATGAAAAATTTCAAATTATCTAAGAAAGTTGAAAGAATTGTGTGAACACCCATTTTATCCATCATTTAGATTACACAATTCACATTTTGCTGGGTTTGCTTTACCAAATATACGTGTGAATGTATGTATCTCTGTCCATGCTTCTACCCTTCAGTTGATCTACTTTTTATGTTTTTTTTTTTCTTTTTGCATTTCAGAGTAACTTATAGGTCTTTCTGAAGGGTGTAAAACTTAACCTTGATATTTCAAGATATATCTCTTGAAAACTGAAAGAGTCTATGAGAAAATAAAATTTGATGAATATTTAACTTTGTGCACAGAATTTTCAGAAGCAAATTTAAAGAGCAAATTGTATTCCAGGAACAATACTAAATGGGTTTAGCGGTTAGAAAGTACAAAATAGCATTTTTTTCAGGCAACATACTTCTGTTACAAAGTTCATTTTATCTGTAAGCTTGTACAGAGAAGTGGTTTCTTACCTTTGGGATTCCCCTTTGCTAAACACTTAAAAATGTTTGTTGGCACTACATTAGTTGATGATGAGACTATGAAAAGTAATAAAGTCATCCTTATTTACTGGAAGTAGTGAGGAAGATAGACATGTGAGCAAATACTTCCAGTGGGGTTTAAGTGCTGGAATAGAAATAGAATAGTGAATTGAAAACTTTGGGAGGAGAGTTGCTAAAAGCCTACACCTGTTGAGGAAAAGGTCCTAGAAGAGATAATATATGAACTTGTTTGAATAATTCTTGAGTCAGGAGGAAGAGGACTGATGATTTAGCAGAGGACACTACTGAGCTGTAGTTGAAGCATTGGCTTAGAGAGACTACAGGGCTGGAGAATATGGAAGATGGGAAAAGGTGATTGAAACCACTTGAGGGAGTTAGTACCTTTAAAGGTTTTTAAGTAGGTTAGTTTATTTGAAAAGATAACTTGCAGCAGTAGTTGAGGTGGACTGAATAGGAAGAAATGAATACATTTGAATTGTGCACATGAGATGATAAGCCAGACTAAGCCTGTGGCAGCAGTATAGGGATGGATGGAAAACGACGCATTGGGGTGCATAATAGCGGGAACATGGATGACTAGTTGTGGATGCAGAGTGAGATAAAGGACTCAATGACTTAGAGCTTTCTAGAGCAGTTAATTGAGTAACTAAAAGTATATTAGCATGTATGGGTAATGTAGAAGGAGTAGGTTAAAATACATTTTTTTGATGCATTTATTTTGAAGTTTCTTAAAAACCCAAATATGTAAGGTCTGGCACCTAGAGAATCCTGAGACCTCATGGGGGTCTGATGGAAGGCATCAGATCAGCTTAAGTGCAATTTTCCAAACAGCTAAGCTTCTCTACACACATGAATACCAAAGCCTTAGTTGTTTTAAAAAAGAAAAGTGATGGTGTTATTTTTTTACATTTTATTTATTTATTAGAGACAGAGAATGAGTGAGCAGGGGGAGGAGCAGCAGAGGGGGAGGGGGAGGAGAGAATGTCCTAAGCAGCCTGCACTGAGTATGGAGCCCTTCATAGGTTAAGCTCATGTGAGATTCATGACCTGAGCTGAAATCAAGAGTCGGACACTTAGCTGACTGAGCCACGCAGGCGCCCTGAAAAGTGGTGTTTTAAAGGCAAAACATGGAAGGGAAAATAGCTGGGTGGGAATCAAGAGGTTCATTTATTGAACTTATCATTAAGACTTTTATGAATACTATTTTGTTTTATCCTTAGCAGTTCTGTAAGAGGACCATTTAGAGACTACTTGATTTTTGTACATTTGGCTTTTTAAAAAACACATTTTAATTTTATTATCTCAGAGAGAGCAAGAGCAAGCAGGGGGAGGGAGAGAGGGAGAGGGAAAAGCAGACTTCCTCTGAGCAGGGAGCCCTACCCAGGGCTCAATTTCAGGACCCTGAGATCATGACCTGAGCTGAGGGCAGACACTTAACCTTGACCGAGCTGCCCAGGCGCCCCTATACATTTGACTTTTAAACAGCTAGAACTCAGATATAGATAACCCAAAAGTGTTTTTGCTGTGCTGAATTTAGATTGTTGAAATGTAAGCATTGTGGGACAGGAGCTATATTTGTTCAGGTCGTCATTCTCCTTCCTTAGCTTAGAACTATATCTGATGCATTCGTTGTATTTAAGCATTTACCGATGAATTAATGTCCTTGAAATGATTTAAACACTTCAGGATTGTATGGTAGTACTACCTGACAGTGACAGTTTAATTTGGGTTATTTCATAGTTTCTGCATTTATAGCAGTGGATCTTTATACAATTATTTGGATATTTTATTACACTTATTTTTCACTTTTTATATATCATTTTTAAGCAGAAAACTGAAAAATGATGGTGCTAATGTAAGTGAATAACTTAAGTCTCATAATTTTAGTACATTGTAGATAAAAAATGGAAATTATTAGGCAGATCAGAAATAGTGAATCTTTACAAGTCCAATTACCTGAAATTGTGAGAATAAAGGAGCAAATTAAATAACATGATTATAATGTGAGAAATATATCATTGAAAACATTGAGATCTTACTATGTTTTAGTCTGTTTTGGTTAGTGTATTTGATTTTCCTCTTCATATACGAGAATGCATTGTATGCAGAAGTAGAGAACTTTCTGTAAACCCATGTTACAGAAAATTTATACAAAATCCATGAGGTCTTAAGTGACTTAGCCAGGGTTATACAAGTAGTAATTGACAAAACTTGTATTTGAACCTGGGTCTGACTTCAGATTTTCTATTTTTTTTCCTTTGTCATGTGTATATTATATTACATTAAAAAAGTATAGCTCAATAATTTTTTCATATGTGTACATTCATATAAACATCACCCAGATCAAAATACAGAACTTTACTAGCACTCTAGGAATTTCTTTCTTATTTCTTTAGTCATTAACCACAGACCACTTCCAAACACTTTTCTACTTTATCACCCTAGATTTATTTTTAGATTTAATATAAATGAATTCATTTTTATGGGTAAAAATACCCTATGGGTATTTGAAAGAGGGATTTATCAATAGTAACCAGTGCAGGGAGGACTACAGGGAGGTCACTGGACTTGGAAACAAGATGGAGAAATTTCTTTATTGCAGGATTGCTGCATATTGAATAACTAGGAGGTGAGAAAATGAAGACAAGGTATATAGACTTTTTTCCTCTTAGCCAAATTTCTTAAACGAAGTTTGGTACAGTGAGATACTGACTTAGTAGCAGGTAGGTTTTTTAGATGGAAAAAATGGTAGACTTTTAAAAAATATATTTTTTAATTAGTTTAGAACATTTTCTGAAATGTGTGAGTCATTGTTAATTCATGTAGTTAACTATGTGGGCATATAATTTATTTGTACACATTGAGTATATTGCTGTTTTAAGTTTCTCAGTATAATTTTTATTTTGTTTTTAGGAGTTACGGTACAGCACCTGTAAATCTTAACATTAAAACAGGGGGAAGAGTTTATGGAACTACAGGTAAAACTTGTAACTGTATAAATAGGAAAATAAGGCATATATATGAAGGTCATAAATACGTAGAATTCTTACAGCTCAGTTAAAAAGAGTGGTTTTGACCATACATGACAGAGACAGACAAAATTTTTTTTTTAAGATTTTATTTATTTACTAGAAAGAGAGAGCACATATATGAGCACACAGAGAGAGAGGGAGAAGCAGACCCTTGCTGAGCTGGGGGCTTGATGTGAGGCTCGATCTCAGGACCCTAGGATCATGACCTGAGCTGAGAGCAGATGCTTAACTGGCTGAGCCAACCAGGTACCCCTGGACAAATTTTCTGTAATATTTTAGGCTGTGTGGGTCACAGGGTTCCAGTCACATGGTTGGCTTTCTTGTTTGTTTTACAGCCCTTTGAAAAGGTAAAGACTAAGCTCACAGGCTGTACAAAAAAGTGATTTAAAACAATCACTGTTGGTACAGGAATTCCTTATAAGCAGCTAGCACCTAAACTCTCAGTCCAGTTAATTTTACAGCTGTTCCATAAAGTTTGATCTCACCTTTTATTTAAGTTAAAAATAACTCTAATGCATTGTTTGGAACCTTTGCTGTATTTAGTGCTATCGGTAGTAAAAAGGTGTTAATGGTTTCTGTTTTCTGTGATATCTCTCAGCTTTTTGCTAATAACAGCTCCTTCACCATTTTGTAATTTTATAAAATAGGAACAAAAGTCAAAGGGGTAGACCTTGATGCACCTGGAAGCATTAATGGAGTTCCACTCTTGGAGGTAGATTTGGATTCCTTTGAAGATAAACCATGGCGTAAACCGGGTAAGATTATTGTGGATTATATCTGTTTGAAAAGATTTTTAGTACAGATGGTCATTAGAAAAGTTTTTTTTTTTTTAGAACCCATTTAGAATATTATTTTTAATGTAATTTTTCTTGTTTTAAGTAGATGAAGAATAAGAATGGCCTGTATAATTAAATCTGACTGCATCATACCAAAGTGGACTTGAATATTGTTTTTATTGTAATGCCATTTCTAAAGGAAATACTTTTTTACCCCCTATGTTCGTTTGTTTTGTTTCTTAAATTCCACGAGTGCAATCATATGGTGTTTGTCTTTCTCTGACTTATTTTGCTTAGCATAGTACTCTGGCTTGAAGGAAATACTTTTGATCAAAAATTTTTATAGTACCATTCCTTTATGGCAGTAATTGGGAAAAATTAGAAGGGGTGATAAAACTGATAGAACACTAAATTTATATTATAGTTTCTTTTATATACTGCATAAAAATAGGATTGAAATATTTGTACACTAACACTGTGTTTTATCTTTAGGTGCTGATCTTTCTGATTATTTTAATTATGGGTTTAATGAAGATACTTGGAAAGCTTACTGTGAAAAACAAAAGAGGATACGAATGGGACTTGAAGTTATACCAGTTACCTCTACTACAAATAAAATTACGGTAATTAGTAAATATTCCAGAATACCCCAGGCTTTTCTACAGTCCCAAATTTTACTCCCCAGATAAATCACTTTTTCCCTGTTAAGGTGGTTAAATGCTCTAAGATAGTTTAAAATTTTCATTCTGTTTACCATGTTTGTTTTTTGCCCTTCCTTCCCTTTCAATTTCGTATTAATGATTATCTGATGTTCTTAGTTTCAAGTCACAGACTAGCCACAGCTAGTTTTTCTTTATATGGCCTATCAATTAAAAATTATGTGGTATCTTAATGGGGAATATGTTATTTAACTTAGGCCGAAGACTGTACTATGGAAGTTACACCAGGTGCAGAGATCCAAGATGGCAGATTCAATCTTTTTAAGGTGAATTTTAGTAAATTATCCTTGGTTGCTCTCATTTTTTGTTCTTGAGTCTGCTCCCGTACCACTACTCAAAGGATGAGATTAAAGTGGAAACAGCTACCTTTTTTCCAAACCTTCAGCTTCCTGGTGACTTACACATTTGCTGATTATTGTTTTATCTCCACTTTTGCAAGCATGTGAATTTATAGCCTATTATACTAACAAATGCCAAGTAAAACTATTCTTGCTATATGTCGTTATTTTATTTTAAATTATAGTCTATGTTTGTTTGTAGGACATGTTCACACCAATAGGCTAAGCTCTCATTTTAGATCGTGCTATCATTCTTACCAGAACTGGAGATTTATTTTTCTCAGTTTTCTTTTAAAAAAGTGGTAAAGAAGATGGCATACTGCTTATTATCTGTATGACACTAAAATCGTTGGTGTAATGTGTCTTACAGTTCAAGATGTCTCAAAAAGCTTACGCATTTTTAGGAGTCTCTAACAAAGACTCAACAGAAGAGGATAAAGCCGTTGATTTTAAAATTCGTAGCTTAAAAGGATTAGGCTTTATAGGGACTTACAGATTGATAATCTCACTTGGACATAAAGTCTGACTTCTGGCTTCTCCATCCCATATGATCACAGGCCCAATCCAAAGAGTAATGTCATATTTTCATACTTCTGCAATACACTGCAACCTGCAAACTTTTCTCAAAACCTGATTGTGTACTCTTTTCCTTTACCTTATTACTTCTTAGTTCTTAATTCTTGTATTGAACGACACTGGAATGAAGACTGGGAGTGGCTTTTAGATTGGGTTATGTACTCAGGGAACTTCTGCGGGCAGGCACTTTTCCTGTGACCCTTTTGGGACTGCAGCCCTGTCCACCGCAATACTGCCTTATGCAATACCTGTGCTATAGCCGCAGATGTAGCCGCTCTGCTGGACACAGTTGTGGGTAGAGAATTTAATTTTAATTTGCATCCTACTTTGGGTAAGTATTTGGTTCTTGTTCTGCTGTCAATCTTTTGAAAGTGTTTAATGATGTCTGTTTTATTTTAAATGGTCGTCAGGTGCTTTTTGGTGCTATCTTCTTATTTAAGGAGTAAATATATTGTTACACTTGATTACAACAAATAGGTAGAAAAGTTGTCTTTATGATGAAATAGTTCATTTGCAGTGGTCCTTCTTATTTCTTCTAACAAATGAAAACAAAATGACCTTGTGAACTGCCAGGTTCTGTGTATTTTGTCTTTTTGCAGTCGACTTCTGAAACTAAAGAATAAAAAACTCCCAGGGGCTGGTCTCTTACTGAAAGTGGTCACCATGAATGCATTTTTTATATGCATACTGTGTATCAAAATTATTTTGAAGTTTCTTTTGGCTACATGAGAGGAGGTTATTGTTCTATTCTCATTTATTTGGTTCTGAATGAATAAGGATTTGAATTTAATGGGTATAGTCTAATGCTTTTTCTTGCCTTGATAATGCACATTAAATATTACTCATCTGTTACAAATACTGATTTGGAAACAGGGTGTGTATTTTTTTAATATTTATTTGAGAGAGTATATATGAGTCGGAGCGGGGAGGAATAAAGGAGGAAAACCTCAAGCAGATTCCCTGGGTCGGGGAGCTTAACCTCTTGACTGATGAGATCATGAGCTGAACTAAAATCATGAATTGGATGTTTGACTGAGCCACCCACATGCCCCTAGGGTGTATATTTTAATAATGTGTGAGGCTCAAACTTTTTATGTATATTGTGATCTGTAGGATATATTTTATTGATGTTGCTCAAAATCTGCAACTACTGGTTGTATGGGAGTGCTTGGCATTTTCAGGTTGCCGTTGACATTAAATTTCAGACAAGTTTCTGTTACCTTAAAATTTCCTTGTTCAAATTTCTCTAGGGCTATTATTCTTTTAAAAAGTCCCGAGTTGTCTCTTAATATCTTTCCTGCAACTCTGGAGAATACAAAAAATATTTTAAGAATGTAATGGGTATCCCAAATATGCAGAGGTAATTTTCTTAGGTAGTATTAGGTACCAAGATGTTTATTTTAGACAAAATGCTACAGAAATTGGAGAATTGAGTGATGAGAAATTACCCTGGGAGAAATATAAATCAAACCCACAATGAGATACCACCTTACACTGGTCAGAATGGCTAAATTGAATAAGTGAGGAAACAAAAGATGTTGACAGGGATGTGGAGAAAAGGGAACCCTCGTGCACTTTTGGCAGGAATGCAAGCTAGTGCAGCCACTCTGGAAAACAGTATGGAGGTTCCTCAAGAAGTTGAAAATAGGGCTACCCTATGACCCAGCAACTGCACTGTTGGTTATTTACCCCAAAGATAGGAATGTAGTGATCTGAAGGGGCACCTGCACACCAATGTTTATGCAGCAATACCCACAATAGCCAAACTGTGGAAAGAGCCCAGATGTCCGTTGACAGATGACTGGATCAAGAAGAGGTGAATGTGTATACAATGGAATATTACTCAGCCATTGAAATGAAATCTTGCCATTTGCGATAGTGTGGATGGAATTAGAGGATATTGTGCTGACCAAAATAAGTCAGAGAAAGACAATTACGATTTCATTCATGGAATTTAAGAAACAAAACAGGATCCTAGGAGAAGGGGGAGAAAAATAAAACAAGGCAAAATCAGAGGGAGGCAAACCATAAGAGACTTAATTATAGGAAACAGGGTTGCTTTAGGGGAGTGGGTGGGGGATGGGGTAACTGGGTGACGGACTTTAAGGAGATCATGTGATGTAATGAACACTGGGCATTATATAGGACTGATGAATCACTGACCTCTACCTCTGAAACTAATAATAGATTATATGTTAATTGATTTTAAAATTTTAAAAAGGCAAAAAGAATTACTCTGGGATTAGAAATAACTTTGAGTGTCATATATAATTTCTTTATATTTCTGTATTTTTTTAGAAGTCTAAAGTTGGGGGCACTTGGGTGGCTCAGTTGGTTGAGCTGCTGCCTTTGGCTCAGGTCATGATCCCAGGGTCCTGGGATCGAGCTCCGTGTGGGGCTCCCTGCTGAGTCTTCCCTGTGCCTGCCTGCCATTCCCCCTGTTCTCTCTGTGTGTTACATAAGTAAATAAAATAAATAAGAGTCTAAAGATGGGATATTAGAGAAACATATGCCATTTTAATCAGAATCTTGAGTATGGAGAACAGAAGAAAAAGTATTCTGGATTAGGAAGTAGCTTGGGCAAAGAAAGAAACTCAACTTAATTGAGTAGATAGTAGATGAGAGTATTTAAGAAATTAGCCTTATCAGGATGCCTGGGTGGCTCAGTCAGGTAAGCTTCTGCCTTTGGCTCAGTCGTGATCCCAGTGTCCTGGACTCAAGCCCCAAATCGGGCTCCCTGCTCAGCGAGGAGCCTACTGCTCCCTCTGCCTGCTGCTCCCCTTGCTCCCTTTGCTTGTGCTCGCACACACATGCTCTCAGTCTCATAACTAAATAAATCTTCAAAATATCTCCATGGGGGCGCCTGGGTGGCTCAGTGGGTTAAAACCTCTACCTTCGGCTCAGGTTATGATCCCAGGGTCCTGGGATCGAGCCCTGCATCGGGCTCTCTGCTCAGCGGGGAGCCTGCTTCCCCTTCTCTCTCTGCCTGCCTCTCTGCCTACTTGTGATCTCTGTCTGTCAAATAAATAAATAAAATCTTAAAAAAAAAATCTCCATGAATTTAAAAAAATAGAAATTAGCCTTATCGGAAGAGTTCTTTTGGAAAGGAGTGGAAGAGAGGTGGCTTTGCAGGGTTCAGTACTAGAAAGCCTTAGAAACAAGGGCAAGTTGGAGGAGTTATTGCCTATTTGTGCCTATTTGTGCTGAATAAGTAACATAATTCTGGATGTGGCTTTTAAGTAATATAATTCTGGCATCAGTGTAAGGTGTAAAAAAGTCTAAGATCTTATCTACCAATCCGCTGTTTGAATTACAATTACTAGGATTGGTGAGACAGAAAGAAGGAAAAGGACTTCCCCAATTTTCCTGTTATGTCTGAGCACCTCTAATGTGCATGGCACTGTACCAGATACTGTAGTAAGACCAGGATCTCTGTATTCAGGGAGCTCATGATCTGAGTGATGTATTAGAAGGACTAGTCATGTTATATTTTGAGAATTGTTATGTTAGTGCTGTTATTAAAGTGCAGTAGGGAGTTCAGAAGACAGAGTGGGTTATCCTAACGTGCAGAGTCTAGAAGGATTCAGACATGCTAACTGAAAGACAGTTTTCATTAGTAGAAAAGAGGGGAGTATAGAACTTTGTAGTAGAAGGAGCAATGTGAGCAAAACCAGATATCATGAAAGGAGAGTTGGGGCGGATGAGAGATATTAGAGGAGAGAAGCCTGGAAATGGTAGATGTGGGGCCATGATGGGAAAGACCTTAATCTTAAACTAGTCTATAGACATTTGTATCGGCCATAGGAAGCCATTTGAAAGTTCTTGAGTAGAAGGATAGGCATGAGCAGACTTGATTTTTAGAAAACTGACAAGTGTTCTTTAGAAGGGTAGGCTTTAGAATATAAGGAAGAGAAAGGGAAGTAAGACCAGATAAAGAGCTGTTGCAGCACTGTAGGGATGAAAGGAATGAGGAACCCATCTTAAGCTAGTGAATGGAAAAAGGAACAGATTTAAGATTTGTAATTTAAGTTCTTGTCATGTCTGCTCCAAGTATACTTTTTAAACTCCTTAATCAACTGAGAGACAAGCCACCTACCAGCCTCTTTAAAATAACCATTTTTTACTTTTTGTTAAGTAAATTTTCAAACATACTAACCAGTAGATAAAATAGTATAAATGAACCCCTGTGTGTTTACTATAATGCCTCAATGATTGTCTACATTTTGACATTCTTATAGTTTTCTATATACTTCAATATAAATAAGGGTTTTTTTTTGTTTTGTTTTGTTTTGTTTGTTTTTAGTGAAATGAAGGGAGATGTAGTTTAATAGGTTTAAAAATAAAAATCACCTATTTGGATGTAAAAACAATTGTGTAATTATATAATTTGGAGGGAGGGGCAAGGAAAGAGTGACTAGTGGGAAGGGGTAATGTGTAAGAAAAAACTGACCCACAACCTTCTGTGAAAATATTTTTATGTCTATACCTGCACACACATGCATAGATGATTTTGTTTTCCTCCGTGGATAAGTATAAGCTTTGTCACTATGTTTTGAAATTTCACAACCCTGTGTCTTGGTCTATTATCTATTGTACCAAGCATTCATTTGTACTCTTTCAGTCTGGGAGCACATATCCTCCCATTTCTGGGGTATTTTCCTCTATTATGTTTTTACTTTTTCTCTGCTTTTTAATGTCTTCTGGACCTCCAGTTCACATATTGGACCTCTTATGCTAGTCCTTCAATTTTCTTTTCTGTCATATTTTCTACCTGTTTGTCTTCTGTTATCTGGGAGATTTCTTCGGCTTTAAAACTCTTCTGTTCATTTCTGTGGTTATATTGTGAATATCCAAGAAGGTTTTTCTTTGGTATTTAACAGTAGCATCCTGTTGTTCATGCATGCAGTATTGGAGTATTTTTTTTTTTCTCATCTGTCTCTCAGAAGATATTTTTATTAATGATAGATTGTTCATTTCATTTCGATTTTATTTTCTTGCATAGTATGTTTGTTGTTTTGGCTTCTGACTGACTCTCCTTGAATGTTTGTTGATCCTTGGTCATAGGGGAATGGGCCTCTAAAAAGGTGATTGGAAGCTCTGAATATAAATGAAATTTGATACAGTTTTTACTGTAGAGCTAAGCTTTTAACAGTTCCACGTGTCCATGTCATTGGGTTACTTTTTTTTTTCTTTTTGTGGCGATTTGATTTTTCAGGGACTAGATTCCAGTGGCCTGAGAGAGTTTATACTTGGGTGATTCAAATGTTCTGGGAACTAGAGTTGTCAATTCCTCAACCTTTTGGGGTCCTGCCATGAAAATAATAGTATCTTTGTTTTCTTGTTGCTGACTTGTGATTCAAGTTCTTTGGTTTGCTCAGTCAGTTACTGTTTTTTAATATGCTTTCAGAGTCCCAAATTTTATTGCTTTGTCAGTCTTTTTGTTTTTGTGGGTTGAAACAAAATTATAATTTATGTGGTTTGCTACTTTTCCTTTTCTTACCTTAACATTATGTGGCAAATGTTTTCCTAGTTTATTAAAGTTTTTTGACAAATAACATTTTAAGTAGTTGCATAATGTATTATTTGGGTGTACCACACTTAAATTTCTTTTTAGGCATTATTTTGTTTGTAAGGTTAACCTTTTATAAATAATGCTATGAAGGGCAGCTAAAGGAAATTTCACAAACTAAGTTTTGGTATCACTGGTAGCGTAATTTGGGTAAATATTTAGTTTCTCAAGGTTACAAACTTCATTCAGCTTTTGTTTGGTTATGTAAGACCTGACATGATTTTGTTTTTAGGAAATCTGTCACGGTGGGGCACCTTGGTGGCTCAGTCGATTAAGCGTCTGCCTTTGGCTCAGGATATGATGCTGGGGTCCTAGGATTGAGCCCCACATCGGGCTCACTGTTCAGCAGAGAGCCTGCTTCTCCCTCTCCCTCTACCTGCTGCTCCTCCTGCTTGTGCTCGTGCTCTCTCTGACAAATAAATAAAATGTTTTAAAAAAAAAATCTGTGTGGTACCTTATAGTTACTTCTCAAAATTCTAGATTATGTTTAAAAAAAAAAAAAAGTCTCATTCTAGTTAAACAGGTTTTGAGTCTGTAATTCTGAGTGTAACATCTGAAGACAAGTGGATGCAAGTTGATTAGGAGAGTTGCTAAAATGGCAAGATTTTCATAATTAGATTTTACAAAAAAATTAGGGAGAAAAGAAATTACATGTTTAAAATTGTGCTGTTTTCCTGATGCATTTTCTTGCTTTCCCCCTATTAAAAATAATTTTTCATTTGTGCTCTCTTCTCTCTCTCTTTTCCCCCTTGTGCTTCTCTTCTTCAGCTCTTCTCCCTTTCCCCTTCCCAGTTTTTAATTGAGTGTTGACTATGCCAGGAAGCATCTCAGGCTTAAGTAGGGAGAGGAGGTGAGCATTATAGACGTCGACTTTGTAATCTTAGAGTTTTCCTGAACTAAGAGGAAAAGTAGTAATTAATTAGATAACTGGGCCAAAAAATTTTATAGCTATAAACTCTTAAATCCTATGAAAGGCTTTGATGTGACATTTAAGCTGAGTCCCAAATTCAATCAAATAAAATATATATATTGAGCAATTATTGCATGCCTGGCACTGTTTTTAGGTACTTGGGATACAGATTTGAATAAAACCTAAATTCAGTGTAAATACTTGTAGGCCATGATAAATTTTTTATCAGAAAAAAAGGTTTTATTCTGTTTGCATTGGGAAGCCATTGGGGAATTTTGAGCAGGGGAGAGATATGAGTTGATTTACACTTTTAGTAAGATTGCTTGGCTATATACAGAGGATGGGTTTTCCAGAGGTGAGACTAAAGCCGAAAATTTAGCAGAACAGTTGAGAAGTGGTAGTAGGTATAACCTGGGTTTTCAGTGTGGATATAATCAGTGGTTGAGTTTGGTATATTTCATAAAGATAAAGTTGATGTAGGATAGTCATCTATTGGATAATTGTTAGGATTTCTTTTTTTTTTTTCTTTAAGCAGTTCAGTAGATGATGGTGCTCTTTACTTATGGGGAAGACTTGGATAGGATCAGTTTGAGGGATCATCTGTGGAGAATCAGTAGCTTTGTTTAGGCCACGGTAAGTTTGAGTTGCTTATTAGATACGTAAGACATCGGATATAAATTACTGAAGCTCAGCACAGTTGAGATCGTACTGTCAACTCTCGATATTCCAGACATTTGCAGGAAGAATATTGCATTTCTTTTTCTGTGTTCTCGTAGCATCTTTTATCCCACAGTTACTTTTCTTCTTAGCATTTATCGTATTGCTCTGATAGTTGGTGTGTCTTGTCCCATGGTCTGAGATTTTGTTGTATTTCTCTCTCTAGTCTCAGTCTCTATTAATAGTTTTTTTAGATGATAGATATTTAATGTTTGATGAGTGAACCATGTTTATTTTCCCTGTCATCACGTTCTGTCAGTTTACCTTTCAAGTGTTTATCAGATCCATTTCTTACCTTCTATCCTCATTTTCTTTGTGCTGATCTTCTGTTATTCCTCACTGGGATCTGGGCCTTTTAAGTGAATTTTTTTTTAAGGAGTAGTGCTCTAAAATGTCAATATTGAGCCTTAATTATATGAAGACTCCCATTAGGGATTGGGTTCAGCAGTACTAATGAGAGATCTGACTTCAATGGCTCAAATATATTATTTTTCTCTCACACTGATAATGTGAGAAGTAGATGGTTTTTGGAATTCAGTCAGTGATTTGAATGTAACAGAGTCAAGGTGTCTGAGATTTTCTTGGCCTTTGCCTCATGATGAAAGAGAATGAACTTGAATTTAGATTGAACAGTACAATATAAGTAGGACGTAAAATATGGTGTGATATTATTCAAGTGCTGGGCAACTTAGCTTAAATTTAATAAATGAATGATTTAAGATCAGAAGGTGAGTATAAAAGCAAAAGAGCACAAAGAATAATTTCACCAGTGTAAAGGAGTATGACTGGACCATTCTGAAAAGCTCTGCTAGGAGCAGAAAGGGTGGCTAAATCTGGGAGAAATTATAGAGTAAGTAGATAACTGTTTGAAGGTGAATATAAAGAGGGGAAAGAGGTTATTAAGGAGACCGATTACTACCTTCAAGCTTCTAGATGTACTGACGGACAGGACGGTGGTACTGTTCATAATGAGGGGAAAACAAATGGTATGGAAGCACAGGAATAGATTATTGATACTCATGTTGGAGCAAATCACAGTCTGAATAGAACATGGTCTGAATGGCTAAAATGGCCGTTGGTAGTTTTTTCCAAATGGTAGTAAACATAAAAGGGGAAAATTCTTCAAGGCCTTTCTTGAACTCCGAAACATGGAGTCATAACCAAGTATCTTGGACTTAGCTGTGATGATTTAAGGGAATTTATGAAAGGACTAAAGAGTTATAGCTTATTGGACTTTTAAGTGACATTATTAGTATGGACTTTCTTAATAGTTGGGAACATTTTGATCCTCTTTGGTGCCTTTCACCTAGTGCTGTTCTCAAATAGGGTAATTTTATTTAATATTCAGCAACAAAACTTTCTTCATATTTAAATTCAGATCAGATGTTACAAATTTTAACATGTTTAGTATAGTATTTTTGAGTGTTCTATTAAATAAGCTAATAACCCTTTTTTTTAAGGTACAGCAGGGAAGAACTGGAAATTCAGAGAAGGAAGCAGCACTTCCATCTACAAAAGCTGAGTTTACTTCTCCTCCTTCTTTGTTCAAGACTGGACTCCCACCAAGCAGGTTAGTTAGACAATTATAACTCCCATTACTGAAGGCATTGGTACCTTCATCTTGTATTAGTGCTATAAAAGTGCTTAATGTTCTGCAAAAAAACTGGAACATTCCATGTTGTTTTAATACAAAATGAATTCTCTGTGAAAAACTCTTCTGGGTGCCTTCCCATTAAAAAAAAAATCTAGGTAAGCAATAAATGAAGCATGGTATATAGTTACATGTATATCAAAAAGATAATCTTACATTTAGGAGAGATGGTGATGACAACAATCTTACTGTTTTCTGTACTTATTATTATTCTTACATTAAGAATTATTGGACTTTCTAAATCTAGATCTATTGAATTTTATATATTTTACTAACTTTAATAAGAGATTATAGAGATTTGGGCCTGGGCAATCTTTCAGATTAAAACCATTTTCTTTTCTTTCTTTGGTTTTGATAATACCTAACTTTGAGTTCCACAAGGTACCAGTTTTAAGAGGCAGATGTGCCGGCAAATGGTTAGCCTGTTACTAGGAAAATGGTCAAGGGTAAGCTAAAAGTAGGGAAGTTGGATGTTAGCAGATTAATTTTCAGTTAGATAAAGATGACTTACCAATTATTCCTCTGGGCCAGAAACAAGTCAGTAACCCAACTGTTACTGGTTCTCAGCCAGATCCTTTACCTTTTGTGCTATTTGCTTAAGTTTATTTTACAGTTTTCTGGTTTTCTTATTCTGCAATTTTGAATTGCTGTAAAAGATAATATTTCATAATATACAAATGCAGGAAGAGACAGTATGGGAGCATACAGTTTAGCCCTAAGATGAAGATTCTTAAAACTTTCAGCCAGAATTAAATGTCACAAAGTCATCTTGGATTTTTGACTGTCTCTTCCCATCCTAACAATTACTAGTCATGGTCATGTCCATATATTATTTAAACTAAATGAAACCTCATCAAATGTTTGGCTAAGAAGGTATGATAGTGGAGGAATACTGATCCTTTTAATATGTAGTCTTTTGGGTTTTTTTGTATTTTAAAAGAGGTCACTTTCATTCTTTCAGTTTATCATGTTCTGCAGTTTAGAATGATGTGAAGAGCTTTGACTCTGCAGCTAGACTTCTGGGGTTGCAGTTCTGGCTATGTTATGTACTAGCTGTGTGTCCTTGAGCACATCCCCTAATCATCTTCTTTCATTTCCTGATCTGTAAAATGTAGTAATAATCATCCATCCCTCACAGGGTAGTTATGTATGTTAAATGATTTAATTTATGTGAAATGTTTTATAACAGTAGTACGTACATAGATAATACTCTATAGATGTTTGCTAATTAAACTATTTAAAAATCAGTAGCAGCTTTTCTTTAATTTTGCCTGCCCCCTCCCTTTTAAAAAAAAAAACCTTGGGCCAGGTTATGTAGGGCATTGTACCACTATAAGGAATTTGGCTTTCTTGTAAGTGAAATAAAAGGGGTGTCACTGTCAGTTTATGTAGAGGAATGAAATAATCTACTGTAGGTTTTTAAAGTCTTGATTGCTTTATTAAAATCAGACTACAGAGAGGTGAGGGGCAGAAACTGGGAGGACAGTTAGGAGGTTGTAACAGTTACCTTAGGCAAGAGATCACTTGGACCAAACTGCTTCTGGTGCAGATGGTGAGGATCTTTTACATCTGAGAGAGAAGAGACTGCAGGAGGAGTGCTTCTCAGGGGGGAGAAGACCAAGAGTTCAGTTTAGGATAGTGAAATTGAGATGTCTGTTAGACCTGTAAGTGGAAAATTTGCATAGGAAGGGGATATATGGATCTGGAGTTGAGCAGAAAGATATGGGCTGGCGATAGAAATTTGGGACCGATCAGTGTTTAAGTAGTATTTAAATGAAGTAGTGGAAGTGAATTCGATTTATTAAGGAGATAAGTAGTGATAGAGAAGTGGCAAGAGGGACAGAGCCTTCGGGTGCTTCCTTCAAGGTCAGAAAAATAAGGATGAAGAGGAGAAGGAGGAGATTCATAGAAAAGAATGACTACTGACATAGGAAGAACACCCAGTGTATGTCTTAAAAAAGATGTATTTCGAAGTAGAGGAATAGTTAACTACCAGATAATACTGATAGGCAAGAAGAGATCTGAGAATGACTTAGATTTATTTATTTATTTTTAAGATTTTTTTTAAAGTAATTTCTGTACCCAGCATGGGGCTTGAACTCATAACCCTAAGATCAATAGTCATATGCTCTGCTGACTGAGGCATCCAGGTGCCCTGACTTTTGGATTTTAAAATGTAAAGGTTGCTGGTGATCCTGACCAGGATCATTTTTAGTGGGATAAGGTGAAGTTTGAAAAAAAAACTTTTTGGAATGAATTCAAGAGAGAATGGAAGGAAAGGAATTAGAATAAGAACATATGGACAACTTTTTTGAGGATTTTTTTTTTTTTTTCTTTTGAGGGAGCAAAGAAATAGTATCTGAAGGGAAATGTGGGATCAGGGAATGTTTTTTCTAAAATGTTAGAAATTACAGTATGTTTGTAGACTTGGGAGAATGAATTACTACAGGGAGTATTGATGATTCAAGAAGGAAGAAAGAACAGTTGTGAGAACAATGTCTTTAAGAAAGTCAGAGGGACAGGATGTAATATGCAAGGCTGGGGGGTTAGTCTTAAGAAGGAGATGGATGGTTCACTCATAGTAACAGGAGAGAAGACGGGACATGGTGAAGGGTGATGGGTAAGAGAATACTGATGGAAGCAACTGAAAGCTCTCTTCTTTTGGCTTCAGTTTTTCCCAGCACAAAGGATACAGACTTACTGGTGAACATGAGGACATGTGGAAGTGGGTGTTGAATATTTGAGGAGAGAAGAGAAATTCTGAAACAGTCATTTAGAGGTGTGTGAGTGAACTAGGGGAAAGGAGTAGGATTGCTAGGCACCACGTGGAGGGAAATGTACCACCAAGAGAAGTCTTTTTTTTTTTTTTTTTTTCCCAAAATGGAAAATACTACAGCATTTTTGTATATTGATGGGAATGAATTAGTAGAGTGAAAAATTGACACAGAGAGGGAGACAGTATATTACCACCTTTTCTGGAGGTTAATCACTGTGTGTTTAAAATGACACCAGTCAGCTTGCTTGGGTATGTTTCTCTCGTCCTTGTCAGGTGTTCATATGTTCGTGAAGATTAGCTAGAGCTGGATGTAACAGAGGTTGCATTTATACCAGGCAGATATGACAAAGGGGCAAGAAAGGTGAGAGGGTCCTTGAAGTGATTAAAATGATGGATGACCGTGGATTAAAGGAGAGATGGAGATTACTAGAATCAAGGAGACAGTAAAAAGGAAGTAAAGAAATGATAGAAACGTTAACAGATCTATCACTAGTGCCAAAAAAGTGGGTAATTGCCACCACAACCTATATAGAAACATACCTAACATGTCAGCATTGTCACTTTTTGATACACAGAACAGTACCCATTGCTCATTAGGAAAGTCGTTTTCTGGGTTCATTGTGAAGTATTTCCCTAAATAAATATTTGTGGTTTTTTTCTGTTTTAGTCTTTGTGTTAATGGAGATTGGAGAGACATGCGTTAAAGTGAAATTTTTTGACTTTAGGGAGAAAACAGGAATGTCACTTAAGACATAATAGAGACTATACAACAAATAGTAATGAGCTGTACTACTGACCTTACCACTGTATTTCCTTTGTTAAAAATCTTAGATTGCCTTATTAATGTGTAGGTGATTGTTGGTATGTTTGCACAGAACTGTTTTTATTGGTTCTTTGTACTTTATAGGTAGAAATGCTAGGTTTCTAACATTCTGTATTGCCCAGCAAAATGGCATACTTAAGTAAGATGTTAATATTTAATATATCAGAATGTTTTGCTTAATCTTTAAAAGTTTTCGTATATGTCAAGAAGTACAGCTTGATAAGTTTTCACAAGCTGAACACTCACTTATTGTTCGTCCAGTTCTCCACTTGTTAACATTTGGCCATATTTGCTTTATAATTTCCCCAAAATATTTTCCTTTTTGAACTATTTATTAATTATGAACATCATACCCCATCAACCTCTAAATACTTCAGAATGTAAGAACAAGCACACTCTGTTATGTAATCCTAGGACATGGTTATCAAAGTGAGAAAATCTAATAATGAGCCAGTATATTAATATGCAAACCATAAATTTAGCTAATTATTTCAATAATGTCTTTCATGGAAGTTCTTATCTTGATTTAGGATTCAGTCCAGTATCATCTACTATAATTAAGTCTTTTTTCTCTTTATTCTTTAATCTGAGGCAGTTTCTCAGACTTCTTTGTATTTGTTGATTAGATTTTGATGAGTACAGTCCAGTTGTTTTGTAAATCATCCTTGAGTCTGAGTTTGCCTGATGTTTCCTCTTTATTGGATTAGGTTTTGCTTTTTAGGCAGGAAACTGCATAAGTGATGTTATGTCCTCAGTGCAACAGCCTGGAGGTACATGATGTCATTTTGCCCTATTATTAGTGATGAGAGCTTTAATCATTTCGTTGTGATGGTGTTCTTTGGGATTCTGCACTGCAAAGTTACTATTTTTGCTCTTTGTATTTAGTAAATAATCTGTGAGGAGATGTATCTATCCTATTTCTTTTTAAACTTCCCCCAAATTCTAATATCCATTGGTGATTTTTGCTTTCTCCCATTATACTGTAATGGCTGTAAAATAGTGATTATCTAACTATTATTTTTCTTATATTTATTAGTTGGCATTCTCCTTTAAAAATGAGCTTTCCCATCTCCACTTATTATCAACTAGATTCACTAGTTTTTATTTTATGTGTGAGAGAGTGTGTTTGTATGATTTATTTGTATATGTAGTATGTAAGCTATATATACAGCTTACATATACTGTAATTCATATTGACGCTCCAATTAGTCTAGACTTGCTCTGTCGCAGACTCTTCAGAGTGGTTCTTGTGACCTTTTGATTTTTACCCATCTTTTTTTTTTTTTTTTGAGGATTTTTTTAGTTTCTAGCTTTACCAGATGTTCCAGGCTTATCTTGTGCTTTCTCTGCCCCCTCCCTGGAAACAACCATTTCTTGAAAGCACCTTGATGCCTTTTAGTGGGAAATGATGATTAGAAACCAAGGTCTTGGCACCAGGTATGCTCATTGGTGCTGGAGTGTCATGGTTTCTAGACTTTTTCAGCTGGGAGAATAAATAATGTATAATTTTAATCATGCAGTCATCATGTGTCTTTTATTTCACATTTCATACCACAGGTTTCTCCTTCCCTTTCGTTTTTTCCATCTTGCAGCTTTTACTGTTTTACTGCATTGAGAACCTAGTTCCCACCAACTTCGTTGTTCTTACTTTAATCCTAAAATACAGACAGAATAGATTAGGACTTCACCTGCCATTATGAAAACCAAATCTATTAAGTAGAGTTCAAGATTTCTTTGGAATTCTTTTTTTCTTTTTCTTTTTTTTTTTCCAGGCTGAGGGTATATAGTTAAAATACTCAGAAAATTTCCTTCAGAGTGGTTGTATTAATCATTTAAAGTATAATTTGATCCATTGTTTCTGTTTGTATTCAGCTTTTCTTTTCCTCCATGTTTATTGATTTATTTTTTGCAAATATAAAACGTTTAGGAGTTCCATGCATACTCAGATTTTTCACTTTCCCCAATTTCTTTCATTCCTGTTAATAACTAACTTCATTTCATCTAGTTTCTGATTTATTCTTCCTGTGTTTCTTTTTACATAAATAAGCAGATACATAAACATACATATTTTTCCTATAGAAAATTTTTCTCGAAAGAGTGTCTTATGAGTCCTTTAAAGGACTGGCAAGAGTGTAAATCCTGAACTTTTTATGGAATATGTCATTATGGGTAAAATTAACTTCCAAATTTTATTTTTAGTTATTTTGAAATGGAATTTTTATGAAATATATAAAGTGTAGGTTTTTATAAAACACATCAGAGTGTTACTGTTATCTGGTACACTATTTGTACCTGTTATTGAAAGAACATAGGGAAAGAAAAACCAAAGTTTTGAGTAAGGTTTTGTGGAACCACAGAAGTTAATGTTATTCATAAAAGCACAGAAAGTTATTTCTTGATAAATACATTATAACCTGACAAGCCCTTGGTTCTTATTTTGCATTTTGACATCATATTATTTCGAAAAATATTTCTAAAAATATTCTAGAGTTAATAAAATGTTGATAGCACATTTATATTTAAATACCTGTTAGCAGTTTCAGTACCACAGAGCCTTGGACAGAATGCTACAATAGGAACATGCTAAAGGACTTTAGACAAAGCATGTCAAAGAAAAAAAAAAAGATAGAACAAGGGGGGTCAGAGACAACAATATGTAAGAAAAAACATAGAAAATTTATCTCACCAGAAACAGCACCTCTTCTCAGTCTCAGACAAGTACTGCCTCCAGAAAAGCCAATTCCAGCGTTGGAAAGTGGCAGGACCGGTATGGGAGGGCCGAATCACCTGACCTAAGGTAAGGCTGTTTTTAAACATTGGCTACTCCCTGATGTTTAGATCATCAGTGTTGTTTTGTCTAGTAATAAGATAATAATCTTGATTAGATTGTGCCATATTTTTTACCCCCTCAATTATGCTTTTTTGTTATAGAAATTGAGGGTTTTAAAAATCAGGAGTCAGGCCCTGTCACCTCACTCATTGCCTGTCATCTCTCTGGCTTTTTATACTGCATTATAAATTGCATGGAACCATGCTAATGGGACCTCAGTAAGTGTTTTTTTGTCCCTACTACTGCAGGTTTAATTCTTCTTTCTCATATCACACCCTATTAAATCCCTGGGTGTTTCTCATTATTTATTGAATAAAATTTAGCCTTCTGAGCTGGTATTTAGAACCTATAAAATTGAACTGCACTGAATCTTTCCAAATGTTTTATAATAACTACAGTGCGTAAAGCAGCCATTTCATTGAGTCTGCCAGCTGTCTTGGGAGGTACCATCACCTTTGTTGTTACTGTGCTTTTACTCCTGATACCCCTCTGCAGAATTCTGGTTTGTGTTCTAAATCTTAGAGTTAGGAAGTATGCAGCCTTGGGTGGGAACTATATATTCTCTGAGCCTATAACATGGGAATAATAATTTCTACCCCAAGGGATATAGTGAGAAGCAGATGTGTTAAATATGACAGTACATTGCAAATAATAATGAGTCTGAGCAATTAACAGTTTGCTTGACTTGGAAATGTAGACTTAGGCACCTCCCTAGTTTGCCATTTAAAGTTTTAAACAATGATGGTATGGGAGTGGTATTTTGTTTGTGTTCATTATAGCATTTTAAGCTTTCTTCCTGGGCAGGTTTATGCTCTATTAATGTTCTTTTAAATATTTTCATTTAGGTATGTATGTTATGATTAGATATCTTTGATTCTAACAACTAAAAGAAAAGCAAAGAGAGGAAACACTATCAGAATTTTATTTTCTTATATTTCCTTTTCTTTGGGGTCTTTATTATATGTTCTCCATGAATAGTCAGAATTTCTAGTCTGCTTGACTCTGATAGCATCTCTTGTTAGGAGAGAATAGCTTAGTCATTCTCAAAAGTGGCTATTCATCTCAAAGTCAAAAATATCTTGACTTTCTAAAGAATATCCAAACTAGAACTATAGTAATTGATGCAGAGAGAAATAATATTATCTATATTCCTAGACTAGTCTCCATGGCATGTGTGCTTTAACAGGGTATAGAATGAAAATTTGCATATCTTACATTTTAAAAGTATACCCATTGACATTTTTCATAGTATTACGTGATATTGATCGTAGTTTTTAAAACTAGAATTCTTGAAGTACCAGTAGAAATTTCAAGAGTTACTTTAAATAGTTAGATCTGGTAAGTGTGGAGAGTGAATGTGAATCTTTTCACATTTAATAGTTCACATTTCACATTTAATATTTCTGTGAAACCCCAGAGTTTAGCATGAGTGCTAATAATATAATTTCTGTATAATATTTAACTTAGTTATTACAACATAAATACATAGAGAAACTCAGATTTACATTTAACCAGGCCAGCAGTTCTGAACAGCCTGTCTATTGATCCCCAAAGGGCCAGACGATAAGAGCTTTCATTTTCTTTGTTCTATTGTGGAGATGAATCAGTAGCCATTCTATAGATAAAAAATAACTACCTTCTTAAACTTACAGCAGTTTCATGGCACAAGTCCTGGATTTGAACATTAAGTTTGGTTTTGTGCCTGTGTGAATTTAGTTCCCTAAAATCTCTGGGCCTCTGTTTCTACATTTTTAACATGATAGGCTGGACTGTGTTATCAGGAAGGCCCTTTTAATCATGAAATTCTTTATTTTCTGCCTAGTCCCTGGTATACATGGAAGAGGAGATCTGAGAAAGTAGAGAATTTGCCCAAATTTATGGCTGATAGAGGCAAAGTCAGGGCTAGAATTCCTGGTTTTCTGCCTTTCAGTACCTGCAGTTAAAGCAGGTTGATTTTCTTAAGCAAAGGCATAAAAATACTTAAGTCACTAATTTTTAATACAATTAAAAACTTTATGTATATTTTCTTTTGCTACTGTTTCAATATCTGAAATTCCTTTTTATATCAATCATTAGAATTTTTTACTTAAAATAGTTGTGCTTTTGATACAATAGTTTATTTCTTGAAGTAAGATAATTAGTTTACAGAGAAGGTATTAGTTCTCATAACTGAAAATGGTACATGTTGAAGTTGATACTATTACTCCCCCACTCCCCACCCCTTAAAAAAGGTGCTTTGGAAATACAGAAAGCCCCCATTCTGACTTTGTGATTAGTCTCAGGGAATGTACATAGTAGGAAATTGGACACTATTTTCAGTATGTATTTTTTGCTTTTGAGAAATTCAAAAGAAGAAAAATTTAAGTAAAAGCTATTAAAGCTAATCTCCTTTTGGGTGGTGTACGTGTATGTATATATGTGGACACACACCCTTAATAAAAACTGAAGTGCTAGCTCCTGTAGTTAACATAACGGAGAAATGTAGGGATTTTTTTGAAACGCGGCTTATATCTCTTTGTAAAGAGCAATTAAACAGTGGTTGCGATCCTATAACTTATTTGGAGACTCAGACTTCTTATCTCATGTGTGTTCCTATTAATTTATGTAACCTGGTGTTCTTCCAACTTTGGTTAATAGCACTCTTCAAGCTAACTAGATGTATGTAGCAAGGACATTTTATTGATATGAGTTTCTTTTATAAATTCAGATTTGTGACATTAAGCCAATTAGTAAGAAGAATAAAGCAGTTTTAATGAACACAGAAAATTGTAATTGGCAATATGGATGACTGCTGTAATCTTATCCTAATGTGCAGTTTATTTGTGTGTTCTGTTTCCATTTTATAATATCAGATTTTGTCAGGTAGTTTCAAATTCTAGGTTGTCTTACTAATAATTGTCTTATTAACAGTGTCTTGTTTTTTAATATTAATGCTTTTTTATCTGAGACTCTTGAATAGTAAAAATTGCTTAATGTAGAATCACTAAAATATTTAAACCTGCTTGCATTTCTTAGACATAAAACGTACAATAAAACTGGATGTTAAATGGACATTCCGTCTCAGATTGGCTTCTTCATTTGTTCTTGCAGTACAGCTTATGTCTTGATGACATAATATACTGAAAAGATGTACATGTACCTTCATGTCATTTGACTGAGCACTCATGACTGAGCATGTGTATTTCGTACCTTGTAAGAATTTACATGGTTGGACATTTGAAGGCCTTTATTTTAAAAGATTCTCTGTAGAGTGATATCTTTTCCAAATTTAAAAAATGAAATTAAACATAAATATGTCAGGTAAACCTTTATTTCAAGCTCTGCACAAAAGTGAGTAAATTTGGCTTCCCTAATGAACATGTTTATGAGCCCAGTTTTAGCGTAGATCACCTTTAAGCCTTCAGGGTTTTGTGTTTGTTTTTAGGACATTTTATAAAAGTAACAACATTTTAAAAATTCACACCCCAGAAGTTAGCATCAAAAACATTTTGTAGACGTAGACTTTGGAGTTAGTCAGACCTGAGCCTGAATCTTGGTACTGGCACTTTACTTCACAAATGAGCCTTTTTCCGTATCTGTGAAAATGACTTAATTGGACTTAAATTGGACTTAATTGGACTTAAACCAAGTACGCATGGATTAAACGGCTTCTATGGCTGCAGAAGCACCTATTGCAGGGTACCCAATAAGTGTTAGTTCCCTTGGGATCTCTGCTCCCACCACAGTCTCTTTAATGGTAGTAGTGATAGACAATACATGACATACTCTGAAAGCAGTTTTAAATTCTGTGATTTTTATTTTGTACATACATTATTTTTCAAGATAGCCTTTTTTATTAATCCTCACTGAAAAATAGAATACATTAAGATTTCTTTATAAACTATACATTGTAGAAAAATTATTCTTGTGCTTTTGAAGTTAAAAGAAAAAGTATAGAGGCAGTACTATGTGACTCCACAAAACTCAAAATATCAGTATAATATATATGCAACGAATGACAGCCTTACCTTAATTATCAGGCCTTGGTAGGTATGACTTTATATTTATTGAGAATTAAGGAGTTACGTTTTAATTTTTATCAACTACTTTAAATGTTTTTAGAAGAAAATACAATATTAACTGTCTTTCTTGGGAATACCTCTAGTTGTAGTCCTCAACTTTGGCTATGTATTGGAATTACCTGGGAGCTTTAAAAAATTGTGGATGCTTAGGCCCTAGAGACTGAATTAAATAGTTTCTATTAAATAGTGCACTCTTGTCATTGGGAGTCTTAAAAGCCCCCAGATAATTCTGATGTGTAGGAAGCACTGAGAACCACTGATTGAGAGAGAGGATATTAATTAGTTATTAATCAAAGGTTTAGTGACCACCTTGGAATTTGAGGTAAAAATGAAAGATTAGTTGGGTGGAACTGATGTTTGCATAGCATTTTACAACTTTATAGAGTCTCATTTTGTGTGAGTCTCATTTGATTTATATTTTCTGCTGCTTTTGGTTGGTAGCCAGTATCAAAGGTGTATCGTGCTGTTCTGTTGCAGACTGGTAGGTAGATAGTATATTTATCAAACTGGAAATTGAAATCCTACACATACTATTTTCCTTACATACTTTCTCTGCTCATGTTCTTTCCTCCATTTAAAATGTACTCCCTCCCCATCTTACGTGGCTAAATCCATTCTACATGTCTTTCAAGGCTTACCTCTTTGCTAAGGTAGCTTAAAAGATGTTGCACCAGTTTCCATGGAGAATTGTTACTGGCATCTGTTTAGCTGTATGACCTGAGTTAGACAGTGATACTACTGGATCTGTCTTCACTTGGGCATATTTAATAGTCCCGTCTAGGTTTTTTTCCCAGAGAATGAATCCTTGAACTATTGCTGTCAGTGCATAGTTCTTATTAGGAGCTCTGCTATGAGGAAAAAACATTCATAGATTTCTTCAAGGATATGTGATTCATTCATTCTTTTATAATAGTGGTTCTGAACTTTGAAGCAGTAACCCTTTGAAAATTTGCTGCAAACTGTGGACTCTTCTGCCTGAAGAATACATTTATACACATGCATATATTTAAGTTGAGGAACTTCCTGATGCCTCAGTATCCCATGTATGCTAGTTGAGGTTTCTTCCTCAAAAGTACAGTTAAATCTGGGTGCCTGGGTAGCTCAGTTGGTTAAGTGTCTGCCTTCGGCTCAGGGCATGATCCTCAGGGTCCTGGGATTGAGTCTTGAGTGGGACTCCCTGCTCATTGGGGAGTCTGCTTTTCCCTCTACCTCTTCCCCCACTCATGCTCTCTCTCTCTCTCAAAAATAAATAAAATCTTAAAAAAAAAAAAAAGAAAGAAAGTACAGTTAAATCCTTAGAGCAAGTCTTCATCAAGAGGGCATGTACTCAGACAACATCGTTTTGGTCCACCTGATTAAATTGCTTTTATTGAATTGTGCATTGTTACGCTTCATCCAGTATTGAGGAACATTTCGAGAAACAGCTTTGTGAAATTCATTTATGTTTCCATTGTAGTAGTATTGGAGACTTTGTCCCTATTTCAGTGTTTTTCATAGCATAAGATGGCAGTCCATTAGTGATGGGTAAGAAATCAGTTTCATGATCTTAACCACCAAATATTTCGTGGTTTTGTATTGTTTGTTTTGCTTTTTTGTGTGTGATGTTTAATACTAATAAATCATGTTTGATTTTAATGTTACTCTTTCCTTTATAATAAGTGTAAGTGAGTATTGTTTCATGAAACTCAGTTTTTATATGTGGGCACTGGATTGCTGTGCAAAATGTGTTTCTTCTAATAACTATATTTTGGGGTCAGAAGTGTTTGAAAACTATTTTACTCTTTCGTATTTTCTCTTAACCTGGACTCAGGAGAAATTCTTTTCTCTTTATTTTCATCTGTAAAATGGGAATGATAGTTGCTACTTCATAAGGTCATGAAGAATGAATTTATATAAAGTGCTTGGAACAGTGCTTTCCTAGCACATATTAGGTGCTCAGTAAACACTAGCTATTATTACCAGGAAATGCTTTGTTTTTATCTGACACACACATCAAAAGACTTGTTATTAATAGTGTCCTTTAGTTTGGCTGTTAAAAAAAAATAAGCTCAGAGATAAATTTGGGACAGAAAATTAGTAACTAATTCTTTGTCTTCCCTTGGCCCTAATTTTGTCACTTTTAAAGTTTTTGTTGTATCTTTGTAAGCACTTACATCAGAATCACCAAAACATGTCCTTTTAATTTAATTCCATTATAATTTCAGAGATATTTTTATATTCATGAAAGGTAGAGGCTCTTGTGAAATCCACTGCCTGTATTAAGCCTGTAGATTAGTGAGACTTCACATATCCTTTGTAGTTCGTTTCTGTCTCTCTTCAACTTGTTATTATTTCAATATAGAGAAGAGAATCTTGATAACTACATTAGCTATCTGCCTTATTCAACAAGTGTGTAAGCAAGTCCAGGTAAACTTGTCCTATGTGGAAACTCAAGGTGCAGTAGATCCTCATAGTGAAGCTCCACTAAATATTTTTATGCATTGAAATAAAAAGTGGTTCATTAAAAATTTTCAGAATATGGCTCAACATCATTTTTCATAATGTGGCATCAGAATAACACAGATTGTTACTCATCTCTGTTAAATATTATGTACTTTTTGTTACTTTGGTATATGCTTATGTATCTTTTCCTAAACTATTTCTGAACAAAATGGCAAACTTCACATTTCTGATTAATTTAAGGTAAATCCGTTTGTGTGGTAAAAATCCCTGGACAAAGAGGTGTTATTATTGTGGAAATGTAAGAAATTGCAATTTTCTGGATTCCTTCTACTGGTGCACATTTTTTAAGGCTGATTTTCCATGTGTATATTTTTAGAAGCTTATTATTTACCACTTTGAATCTTCAGTGATTAATCCATTTAAAGCTGAAAAATTAGACTTCCTTAAAATAAACTTTAAGGAATGAGTACTCTCATGTGTCCCAGAATATTTGAAAGCAGAGGTCTTTAGAAAACCATGGTATATAGAAATCTTTCATTTGGACACAGACATTAGACTGTTAGGTCTGGATTTAAGTTTTGCTACTTTAACAGTTTGGAGAAATTGTAAACCCAGATATATTTGTGAGAATTTGTTCTTGAGGGGAATACGTTTTAAAGGATGGAGAGGGGAGAATGCAGCAATCAGGAAGAGAATAAAAAGAAATAGTAAGAGGTAGATTTTTATAATGAAGTGTAGGTAGCAATAAAGGATGAGGGAAATTGTGGCCTCCGGATATACACCTCTCCCTGTCAGGATGTTGGAGTCAGAGATGTGTGTCGATATCTAAGAGGTGATGGCATTGCTTTTGATAGCAAGTTACAGTGGGCATAGCTATTAATCTTTAATTTTTAGGGGAAAAATCGAAGCTATATTGGTTTTATGTCTGAGGTATTTGGATTTTTCTCATGTGTGACTGTTAGGATAGTTTCCACCTATATCGAAGGGTATGAGTTAAAAATCACTTTTTCTCTTTGAGTTCATGAGGAAATCTGGGAAGTCAGTGACATTGACATAAAATCAGAAAAACATGAACTTTTTAAAAAATTCTATTAGAATTATATAGAACAGAAGTTGAAAGTGGGCAGGGTGATAAGTAGGAATGGACTGTGTAGTTGAAGACCTTTCAAATGCTATTATATACTCTTATAGGGCTGTCTTCATTTTGTTTTTGTGAGCATAAAATTATTTATGAGGCTTTTCAAGGTTCACTTGAGGCAGACTTTCACCAGTTCTTGATTTTCAGAAGTCTCAAATGTCTCAAAAGCCAGTTATCTTGCAAGGAGGGAGCATAGATCAAGGGAAGGCTTTGGAATCAGAAGGACTAAGATTTGAAAGTTAGTTTTGCCATTTAATTATTACTGAAGTCAGTGACGTCACTGTGAGCCCTAGCTTTAACATCTCTAACAAGTGTACAGTAATTTGTTAAGTGAAGGCTTATTGTGAGGTTTAGGTATAATGTGTAGACATTCTACAAATAGTCACTGTTACTAGTTGTTTTAGGAACCTATCTTTGCTGACTATGGAAGGATCCATGGTACTTTGGTTTAAAGTTTTTAAAGTTAGAACTGTTCAGAACTAAAACAGAAATGAAGAGAAATTGATCTAATTTGCATCCATTTTTCATTGCTTCTTCCTTCAAGTGACTTCTGTATCTTGTTAAGCATATATACTTTTTTTTTTTTAAGATTTTTATTTATTTATCAGATAGAGATCACAAGTAGGCAGAGAGGCAGGCAGAGAGAGAGGGGAAAGCAGGCTCGCCGCTGAGCAGAGAGCCCCATGCGGGGCTTGATCCCAGGACCCTGAGATCATGACCGGAGCCGAAGGCAGAGGCTTTAACCCACTGAGCCACCCAGGCGCCCCAAGCATATATATTTTAAATAAAATCCTTAACTACTGACTTTTAACAGTATTTTTAAAAATTTAACTTACTAGCCTCTCCTAATGCAATTTGCAGCATTATTTTGTGATAGACTATTTTTCCATCTACTCATATACTTAAACTTTAATTGATTATAAATACAATTGGAGTGGGGCAGGCATTTAAGTATTTAAAATTTTCTATTTAAAGGCAAGTTATCAGAAATGGAATATTGGATCCCTTTTATGCTTTCTAATGCTTGGAATAAATCACTAAGAAAAATACAGTGTATATCAAAATGAGCATTATTTCTTTTCAGGTCTTTTGGGGGAATTTTAGGGGGGAGTTTCTGTACTAGAACTATAATATGTTTTATAATTGTAGAGCCAAAACATGTTATTTCCATTCGCTTTGCATTTGCTACCTGATAGAATTTCACAAAGATAAATTTAGTTGGAGACTATTAAAAAATAGTAAATTTAAAAGAAAACCTATAAAAATACTTTAACATTATCATCTTTAGATACATTGGTTCCAGCTTATTAATAAAGCTTAGTTTTTATGACAGTACCAAGTAATGAGATCTAACTTTAGTGAAGTTTTTTTTTTTTTCAAGTGTGTGTTGTGATCTGGTTTTATTTTAAAGTACATTGCAAAAGGTCTTAAAATTTCATTTCTCACCTAATATTTGTGTTATTTTTCAAACATCTAATTAGGTGAAACTGAATCGATTTAATTTCTGTGTTACAGGAGATTACCTGGGGCAATTGATGTTATTGGTCAGACTATAACAATTAGCCGAGTTGAAGGAAGGCGACGGGCAAATGAAAACAGCAACATACAGGTTTTGTATTTTAAAAATTATTAATTTTTAAACTGAAGGATTACATCCGTATTCTAATTTAATTTATTCCATATACATTTCTAGTGCTATGCTATGTGTTTGTTATTTTAGGTATGCCAAGAGATTTAAAATACGGAGCTAATTACCCTTTTATTATAAAAGCTATTCCCATTAGAATTTATTGCCTTTGGATCTTTTTTGGTAAGATTTCTTTTCCTTTGCTATAAACACAATATGTAGGTTAATTGGACCAAAAAAAGGGAAAATATGGGAAAAGTGTAAAGAAGACCGTAAAACCACCAATAATTCTAGCATATAAAGATAACCACTTTTAACACTCTGGTACATCTCTCGTCACCAGACAAGATTAGGATATACTTTATGGTTACTTCTTGTGTATCTTTTTTTAAAATTATCATTGGCATTGTCCATATTTTTAAAAATATTGAAAATTCCTTCATGATAGTTTCATTATATGGATATATCATAGCTTAACGTATAATTTTGGGGGGGGAGTAGATTTCCTTTGTTTTCAAGGGAAAGAATGAAGGCGATACTAGTAACTTGGATTCAAGTTAGAATTTTAGTAACTGAGACTTTCAGCTGTTAGTTTGATCATTACTGTTTTTTATTATTACCTTTTCCTGAGTACCTTAAAAAAATTTCAAAGTGTTTTGATTCTCATTACTTTTAGTAAATTCATCTTCTTTTCTTTTTAGCATGTTTAAGTGTAAACATTTCTAAACTGGAAGATAGTCCTCTTTTCTTTCTCCCACCATTAAAATGCTGGGATTTCTTAAAATAATTCTGTTCCCTACTTTGAAAAATAGCTTATCAGCATAAGCATTACAGAAATTATTGTATTTAAATGCAGGAATAGTTAATGAAAAGAGGGATTATATGTTTAAATGATAACCTTTAGCCCGCAAAGATTTTAGAAGTATAAATTAAATGCACAACATTATGTTGCCTATTTCTGCTGTTTCCCAAATGTGTTTGCACATCAGAATCCCTCAGGGAGCCTTAAAAATCCAGATTTCTATGTGTCACTCCTGTAGATTTCCTACCTGCCCCTTAACCTGTTTATACAGATCAGTATTTTGTAAACACATTTACTTCTCAAGTATAAACTCTTGTTCTTAAAGTTACAAGATTCACATGAAAAAGTTATTTATATATTTGGCTACCTGTTTACTTGCACCCTGTTAATGCGTGCAACCTGATGATAAGAAGCCCTAGTACAGTGGATATTTATTTCTGCATCCATGTTTATTTCCTAATGCTGGTATTTGTAACTAATGATTACATTGACTTAATTTGAGTACTGTAGCTTGGTTGGGTAACAAAGGTAATACTCATTATATTATATTTATAAAGTGGTTAAATTTAGAAGTACTCTTGTTTAGAATGTTTTTAGTTCTTCTTTTGAGTAATGATTTAGTCATTTTTTTTCTAGGCTTTGTATATGGACATTTTAAAAAGTGTGAGTGCGTGTATACTCACATCTGTATATACACACACATATCACACACATGGAAAAAATTACGTCTGCCTCCCCAAAATATGTGTATATGAATAAAACTTTTTACTTTATTTCTTAAATAAAATGAATTTACTGAGTTTTTAATCTTAGATAAGAACACTTATTCACTTTTTAAATTAACTATGCTTAATTTTAGGTCCTTTCTGAAAGATCTGCTACTGAAGTAGACAACAATTTTAGCAAACCACCTCCATTTTTCCCCCCAGGAGCTCCTCCCACCCACCTTCCACCTCCTCCATTTCTTCCACCTCCTCCAACTGTCAGCACTGCTCCACCTCTGATTCCACCACCAGGTAAATAGTAAATAAGACATCTGATTTTGGGGAAAAAAAAATCATGAGTGTTTCTTTTATTTTTAATTCTAACAATTAAAATACATGAAAAATCTTTATTGATTATACTGCATTAAAATTGATAGGAAATTTACTATGTTAAATCTTCAGTAGATTCACAGTGAAACAGATCTATATGTGCTATTTCAGCATAGCAAAGAGAATATACTAAAATAGAGAAGAATGGATAGATACTAAAATTGTGATCTAAGAGTATGATTGTGAACACTTAAAGATGCTAATTTTATGTATAAATCCATATTGAATTATAAACCATGTGTTAACTTGTTTTGAAAAAAGTTTTAGTTAGAATTGGAGTAGGTTTAAAAAAAATATATCCTGTGAAGTGAAAATCTCAGTCTGTTCATCTTTGTATACTGATTTCCTTTTAGGAGAGTGCTTCTGGGTGCCAGGTACCTGGTATTTAACTGCTTTTAAACAAGACAGAAAATTAAATTTCTATCGTATTTTGAGCCACTTTTGATTATTATTTTATTGATGGCACTAGAAAAATTCACAAGTAAACCCTAAATTTTATATTTTCAACCTTATATCCAGTGGCCTTTGTTACTTTATTCCCAATAAGCTTCCGTTATTTATTCCCTTTAATCAGTTTTTAATGAAACTAACAAGACTGATTGAGATAGTAACTCCTTTCCTCCTACAGAGAATGCCAATAGTAAATCATAACAACTATCTCCTGCTTCTGATTATAACTACACATGTGAGAAATGCTAAAATTTGCTTTCTTTTGGTAATATCAGTTCATACTGCAGAGCCATGTCCACATAGTCATTTTGAGAGAGCCATGCTTGTTTTAAGGTGCCAGTTATGATCAGAGTACCTATGCAAATAAGGGGTCTGAGTAGTCTCCCTCTAGTCTTCATCCTTGGTCTCTAAATGTCAACTGTTGCATTGGCCCCACAGCCACAGCACCTTTGATTCTCTTCCATTGTCAATTTTATCTCAAAATGGATAAGAATTATTATGAAAAACGACTGGTTTTAGAGACTTTGTTGTCTCAGAAAGAGGAAAGAGAAGACTGAATAAGTTGGAGGTGCTTACTCCAGACAACTTTATTTCTAAAATTTAACGAGTTTATTATTCTGGAGCATAAACCATTTCAGAAGTTGTAATTGGACCCATGACTCTTGGGTCTTCCATATGATGAGAACTAACCAAAGGAAAAGGGTATGGAATGAAAACTTCGTGATTCATAAACGAGTCCTTTGTCTACTGAACATGATAAAATGTAGAAATAGTTAATTCTGAACATATTTGATCTAATGACACTAAAAGATAATCAATGTATTCAATAATAGTGTTATGCTGGATTGCTTGGTAATCTTATTTTAACTTTACTAGGTATTAAAGGTGATTAAAAATAATTTTTTTTATTGCTAGCTAACGTAGTATATCCCCAGATTGCTAACAGTTTATATAGTCAGCACTAGCTATTATGAGAGAGTAAGTGATATGAGTGAGAGAGAGAGAGGGTATGAAAAATGGTGAAAAAATAAAGACATTTTTGGTATAAGAATATTTAGACGCTCTATAGGATATTGCTTATAGGTGCTGGCATTATCTGGAAGCACGCTTTTTTCCAAAATGACAAGACTACTCCATTTCTTTACCATATAACTTCTGTTTATAAAGATAATATCTTTTAATAATGTTCAGATTATCTATGGCATTATACTGTAGAGTAACACTCCTTATTTTTTTTTTTTAAGTTATTTATTTACAGGCTTACCTTGGAGATCTTACAGTCCTACACCACCACAATAAAAAGAATCAAAATGAAATTTTGGTTTCTCGGTGCATATAAAAGTTATGTTCATATTCTTCGGTAGTCTGTTGAGTGGTGCAGTAGCATTATGTCTAAAAAATAATACATTAATTAAAAAGAACTTTGTTGCTGAAAAATGCTAACCACCATCTGAGCTTTAAGTGAGTCATAATCTTTTTGCTGATGTTAGGGCCTTGCCTTGATGTTGGTGGCTGCTGACTGATCAGAGTGGTGGTTGCTGAGGGTTGGGGTGGCAATTTCTTATAAGACAGCAGTGAAGTTTGCCACATCCATTGACTCTTCCTTTAATGAACAGTTGGTTTTTCTGTAGCAGTGATGCTGTTTGATAGCATTTTACTCACAGTAGACCCTCCTTCTGAATTGAAGTCAGTCCTCCCAAACTCTGCTGCTGATTTATCAACTAAGTTTAGGTAATATTCTGAATCCTTCTTTGGCCATTTCAACAGTCTTCACCGTATCTTTACCAGGAGTAGGTTCCATGTCAAGAAACCACTTTTTTTTTTTTTGCTCACCCATGAGAAGCAACGCTTCATCTGTTCTAGTTTTATCATGAGCCTGCAACAATGCAGTCTCGTCTTCAGGCTCCACTTCTCATTCTTGTTCTCTTGTTATTTCCACCACACCTGCACTTCCTTTCTCTGCTGAAGTCTGGAACCCCTAAAGTCTTCCATGAGGTTTGGAATCCACTTCTTCCAAACTCCTGTTCATGTGGCTGTTTGGATCTTTCTCCATGAATCATGAATGTTCTTAATGGCATCTCAAATGATGAAGATGATGCATCCTTTCCAGAAGGTTTTCAACTTACTTTGCCCATATCCGTCAGAGGAATCGCTCTGTCTGTGGCAGCTATAGTCCTATGAAATGTTTTTCTTCAGTAGTAAGACTTGAAAGTCTAAATGAGTCCTTGATCCATGGGCTGCAGAATGAATATTTTGTTATGAGGCATGAAAATATTAATCTTATTACTGTATGTCTCAACAGAGAGAGAGCTCTTAGGTGACCGGGTGCATTGTGGATGGGCAGTAATATTTGGAAAGGAATCTTTTTTTCTGAGCAGTAGACTCATCGGTGCGCTTGAAATGTTCAGTAAGCCATGTTGTCAACAGATGTGCTGTCGTCAGGCTTTGTTGTTCCATTTGTACAGCACAGGCAGAGTGGAGTTAGGTTAATTCTTAAGGGCCCTAGGACTTTCAGAATGGTGAGCATTTGCTTGAGCTTAAAGTCACCAGCTGCATTAGCCCCTCACTAGAGAGTCAGCCTCTCCTTTGAAACTTTGAAGCCAGGCCTTGACTTCTTTCCAGCTGTGAAAGTCCGCAATGGCATCTCCTTCCAACAGAAGGCTATTTTGTCTCCATGAAAATCTGCTGTTTAGTGTGGCCGCCTTTCTGAATTCCCTTAGCTGGGTCTTCTGGGGAACTTGCTCCCCCTTCTCCATCAGCACGTGCTGCTTCACCCACCCTGCACTTTGTGTTCTGGAGATGGCTTCTTTCCTCAGACCTCATGCACCAGCCTCTGATGGCTTCACACTATTTTTCTACAGCTAACTCACCTCTGTCAGCCTTCATAGAATTGAAGAGGGTTATAAGGGCCTTGCTCTGGATTAGCCTTTGGCTTAAGGGAATACTGTGGCTGGTTTGGTCTCCTCTCCAGACCACTCAGACTTTCTCTGTATTTACAGTAAGGCTATTTTGCTTTCTTAACGGTTGTGTGTTCACTGGAGTAGCACTTTTAATTTCCTTCAAGAACTTTTCCTTTGCATCACGGTTTGACTGTATGTTGCAAGAGGCCTAGCTTTTAGCCAGTCTGATTTGACATGCCTTCCTCCCTAAACTTAGTCATTTCTAGCTTTTGATTTAAAGAGAGAGATGTGTGACTCTTCCTTTCACTTGAACACTTAGAGGCCAGTGTAGGGTTATTAACTGGCCTAATTTTGTTATAGTGTCTCTGGAGAAGGAAAGAGATAAGACAATGGCCGATTAGTCAAGCAGTCAGAACACAAACAACATACGTTGATGGCCATCTTATATATGATTAGAGTTTGTGGTGTCCCAAAACAGTTACAGTAGTACCATCAAAAGATCACTGATCACAAAGCACCATAACAAATAAAATAGTATAAAAGTTTGAAATACTGTGACAGTTACCTTAAATGTGATACAAAGACATGATATTACAAACCCTTCTGGGAAATGACTACAGCGGACTTGCTGAAATAGTGTTGCCACAAACCTTCAGTTTGTTAAAAACACAGTAACTACGGAACGCAGTAAAGAGGGCACAATAGAATGAGGTATGCCGGTAATGTTAATTTTCAACTACATGCTTTCCATATTTTAAATACCTACCCACATTTCCTTTGATTGCTTATTCTTAGAGTTTCCATGCTGTTCTGTCAGCATTTAAGGATACTGATTGAAATGAATTTTGATGCTGGTTTAAAAGCAGTATCTAACTGTGGTATATTTGCTGGTGGCAGGGAGATACCAGTTCATACAAAAACCCAAGTATCTGGAGATTGAGACTATCTGAATTACTCCTTACTTTTACTAGATTGTGAGCTGTTGGGAGAGAAGGTGGTTTGCATTTCCATCAATGTTTCCCAACAGTGCTAGTCACAAAGATCTTTTGTATGCTTGACGTTCCCTAAATAGGGTAGCTGTTTGAGGTGACATATATCTGTATCCATAACACCAGAGAGACTTTCAGATTGACAGTTAGTACAGTCACCCAGACACTTAAAACCAGAGTGGTTCCGAGCTTTTCCATAACAGTATGGCTACATAGATCCTTACCCATGGACTATAGGCCTTGAGATTAAAGCCATATTTTCAGTGACAATTTACCACAGAACCACGTGATTACAATATATTTTATAGAGGTCACTGTGATTTAGATCACCATAAGAATCATAAGCCACTAATGAAAGAAAGCTGTGGTTGAGGAGTTTTTTTATAAGTTTGCCTTAAAAAGTGCTCCATTTTTCTTAGAGAAATCTTGGGTTTTCTTTTGCTTTCTTGAGAAACACTAAGTGCAAAAAGGAAAAAAAATCCTTTGAGAATTTAAACATTAAAATATGTTTCAGGGACGCCTGGGTGGCTCAGTTGGTTGGACGACTGCCTTTGGCTCAGGTCATGATCCCGGAGTCCCAGGA